CGTTGGTTAAATCGTAATATTTATTCTATTTTATTGTGTGGTCTTTGCAATGTTGGTAACTTACTCGTAACTGTGCCCTTAGCTTCTTCCATAGATTTTTTTTTGGTGGCGGTACGAATACTTTCTCGCTAGTTCGCGCTTGGAGAACAGTAGCTCAAGCACGAACTATGACAGCTCCGTTATCGTATCGTCATCGTCAAATTTTGTATGAAAGGAGTTAGTTTTATCTTGCATCCGGTGGCGCTGCTCAATTTTCATAGAAACTTTGAAAATGAAAATGTGTCGAAGTGTCTCCGAATTAGACCGAGTATGCGGTGCCAACTTTCCCTAGAATCATCGTTCATCTTAGCTAGTGTAGTTATCTTAGGAGCTGTCAAAGTTCGTACTTGAGCCTCGGGTCTATTTATCTCATCCGTAGGGAAGAGGCCTGAGCCTAGCGTTGTCAGGCGTCCGGATAAAACCGGAAATAGTTAGGCTTTTAGTTTGCGTGTCCGGCCAAAATAAACGGTGCCCGTCTTAAGGAGAGGTCAGACGGCGTGCGATGTCGCTGTCGTTCGCAAAAGTACGCGAAGTGTACGACATTTCTATTTACCTCGTATCATGTATAGATACAAAACATCCGTCTGACGTGTGCCAGTGCACAGTAACGCCCTGCCCAAAAACAAACATTACAAGAGTTCTCATACGTTTGGCACCCCCCGGGGCGGCGCGCGACAACACTCGCCGTCTGACCGCGCCTTTATTTCGCAAACGAGCGAGCGCCGAAATGCGCAAGCTATCGGTCGCTTTTACATACAGATTTTTGTCGTACTTATTACTGAGCCACAAAATCATCAACAATGTCCGGCCTTTTACCCAAATCGCGGACATTTGGGTAAAAAGGCAAACTGGCTGTTCTGTCCGTCTATTAAGTTTGGCGACCTGAGGGCCAATCGCCTAACGGGAACGCTGTGACTATCGCTATCGCTTGCGATTTCATTTTGTTATTTCTGACCGCCCGAAGGTTTTCAAATGCCTAGCGCTTATTTTTTTTCTTTTGCATTGGTAATAATAATTTTAATGAAAATGACCGTGAGGTATTCGAAAACCTTCGGTGTTCAGAAATAGCAAAATAAAATCGTAAGCCATTGCAATCTTGATAGGTGATTGGCCTCCTGGCAACCCTACTAGCACCAATAGAAACTATATGAGGTCTCGTGTTACTAAAGTCTAAAAATAAGTCTATAGATATGTTTTTCTTTGACCGAAAGATCTAAGATGACGTCATATCGGATGAATTTGCCATTATACTAGTTCGACGGTGGCATTAAGAAATGGATGTAAGTACATTATACTAGTGGAGAGCGGAATCGTGTAGTGCACTGTCATGTTATGTAGTTCTATTTATAAGATCTAATGAAATATGGCGGATGTGAAACATCTCCGGTCGTAGGAAATTGACCTTTACGACTCGAGCTTTAGGGTCGTTCTCGATTTCCAGTTTTCAATGCCAGTTTTGTTAGCGTTAATGAATCGATGATGAGGACATTCACACGTGTTTGATGATTCCTCCACGCTGGAGTACCTCTTATTTAACGATTTTATTTTGTGACTTGTATATAGGTACTTTATTCGAAGTTTATGCCATCATTTATGCACTTCATTTTGATTTTTAATAAAATCTGTTATACTATAGTTCTTTGGTTCATGTATAGGTCAGATCCAGCTAAAAATTTACTTTATACTAAAACAAATACATATCTGTTTTATTATACTATAGCAAAATACATGTTAATTTTATGTCACTACTTATGCCTTTTTTATTCCATTTGAATGGCAAAAGATAGGCATACATGTTTATTTTATTTTGTCTACATATTCGACAGTAGCTTTCTTTTTAAGGGCAGTATTTCGACAATTCTTGGTTTACAAGAAAAAATTGTATTTGAAGTCTAGTGACTTCCAATGTATTTTTTCGTAAGACATGCTTTATTAATAATTGTGTTAGATAACAAATCGAGTTAGTCTGAACCTCAAATTTGTATAGATGGTGGCGCCGCGAGCCGGTACAGTCGTAGCGTAGCCGGCAACTAAAACAGCTTGGCTATACAAAATCAAGCTAGGGCGTTACCCGCTATTAATCCACACACAAGTAAACATTATATCTCAACGGCGAGTTGCCAAGAAATGACACCTGTCCTGCTCCCACGTACCGAGTTGACCCGCGAACGAAAGGGATGGCGGCCAAAGGGCCGGAATCAATACCACATGACAGGAGGCTGTTTTATTTTGCTGGGGACATCTTTGAGTTTGTATAGTACCCAACACCGAGCCGCGTCGGTTAAGTTCTTTGTTCTCTTGTTACTTTGCTTTTGGTAGTTTAAATCGCGTATAAATGTTAATATTTTTAAATTTGTTTTTTTAGAAAACTAGCCTTGTTTTTGTTTTTAGTTCTTAATGCAAATTCCAAATTTAAAACCAAGTTTGTGAAACATAACGTACATGATGTTAAATAAAATGAATTTATTGTTTTTTTTTATTGCAAACATTCTTTAAAATGAGTTTTTAATGAAAAAATTAACCAATCTGTGAAAAAGATAAATCGTAAGTTCTGCTGAAATACCAGTATGATTTAAATTAGCGCCTACATTATCGCTTATCTTTCAGATCTATTGTGGGTAAAAAATCATCTACTTAACACTTCTTGCAGTAAATCAGAGAAGAAACATTTGCCATAATTTGCCAAAACTACTTTTCCGGAGGGGCAAGATCCCTCGATCAAGTAATAAAAATGATATTGTCTATTTAGGAAGGTGCTTTTTCGTAATTTTAACGAAATTAGTATCATTCTTTCATGAAAGTAGGAAATAAACGAAAAAATTTTTTTTTCTTTTTCCTGACCGGTTCTATTATTTCTTACCCTTTATTGAGATAAAATTCTATGATCAGGACAGTATTCCTGATCATTTTTAATAATATATTAAGTTTTATTTGATTATTGTGTTTTTCTGGTAGATATCGCTATGAGAGATAAGGTCATTCATTGCAGTACGTAACACATATATTTAATTTTCTTATCTTCCTGTTGTTGTTGATGGTGGTGGTAGTAGTGTTATGTATCGCTCTATGGTTTAATGGATTAAGTAATCCAAAGTAGTATTTGAAGCGATGTCAGTTACTTGATTGTATCGTCGATGATTCTGATTACCACCGTATCCTTAGCAAAAACCAATATTTATTAGTTAGAATAGTTGAATCCATTTTCGATACGTGTCACTAATGTCAAGAAGTTTTGTATGGAAATTTAAACAACGGACGTTACGAGAATTGACAATCTTACATACCATTTTTTTGACATTTGTTTGACGCGTATTGAGATCGAATTTAACTATTCGAATTCGATATTGGTTCGTGTTAAGGGTGCAGTTTACTTACGATAGATTTAAAGTTGCTCTTATATCAATATGGTATGAAAAAAGATTATTTAATAAATTAGGAAGTATTTATTAAAAAGTCTTGAATGGTTCCTGTTCAGTACTTCTTTCTACTGTGGAGGAATCGCGAATGAAACATCTTAACTTTAAAAGAAATATTAACGATGATACTTACAAAATGCTATGTCGTTAGCCATGGTCGTTAGAGTCAATAACTACTCGAATTTCGATAAATTCTGCTATAGAGATAAAGGGAACCTCGGAGAAGGGCATGACTACCTTCTGTCGTGATAATATAACTTCTAGGCGGTAAAACAGTGTATAATTTTTTTGTTTGAGATACCGTTTATTCAACGCAAACGGAGTCGAGGGCATTCACTAGCCTTATTTTAAAACAGAGCGATAAACAATAGTACCATCGAATTAAATAATACACAATTCAATTGTTAGAGGGAGAGGATATGAATTGTTCATTGGTTCGAAAGTGACAGCATTATCGAGGGTGCCGCGCACCGGACCCCTAATCCGTTTTTACAATCTGTGATTCGGTCATGCTATTATCAATAACTTATGTAATGGTTACCATTTTGTGTTGTACTTCGACGTAATTATAAGGGCATTGTAGAGAATAAGTTTTAGATTAATAAATTATTTAAGAGAGCAGCTACAAAAGAAGTTATTACATTTTATACAAGGCTCAAAGAATGACTTCACATTCCTGCAGTTGCTGTATGTGCTCAATCGACACGACTTTTTGATTGTAAAAAGGACAATCTTGAATCATTTTCTGAATATCATCGTCTCATTTACATCCTTCAATCTATCTTCAAAGTTTTGGAAAAAAATGTTTTTCGTTAACTTTAAAGTTTCCTTAACAAAAACCAACATCTTGAACCCTTCCAGTTCGGTTTTCGTACCGCTAATAGCACTACTACTGTATTGGTTAGTATCTTGGGACAGGCAATCGACATGGCATGGAAAATAGATAACTTACACTGACGACGTTGCTTGACTTCAGCAACGCCTTCAACTCTGTTGACTTTGATATTCTTCTCGCTGTTTAGCGTTCTATTAACTGAAGGTACCTCCGGCAGCTATTCATTGATTACAAAATTACCTACTAGTACTCTAACAACGCATCTACATCGACGAAAACTTCCCTACGGAGTGCGCTATCAATGCCAGAGTTCCTCAGGGTGGTGTCTTGTCTCTCTTCTCTTTACTACCTGCATAAATTCGATCGCACAAAAACTTCCCAATTCCTATCACCTTAATGCTGATTTAAAATAGCATCGCTATTTGACCTCTCCAACGCTATAGCAGCTAGAAATTTGGAAATGACTATGATTGGTTGTTGGACTAAGTCCTTCGACCTTACTGTATGTGTAAACCTTATGAAATTATACGCAAACAATATTCAGCAGCAGTCCTTACTTTGCTTCTAGGATTGATTTGGAATTATTGCCGTGTATTCACTCATATTTGTCTCTTTTAGGTCCTGTGAGGTGCATGTCAATAAGATTTTTTTCGTGAAATTGATATTTGTAGTTCTATGGTTTTTAACACCCAGTTTTTCTTTTGTTACAGGAACCGATTGGATTGAGCCACCGTTGTGCGCGGGTGAATGTAGTGTAGTGTTGTGTGTGGTGATTGGTGAACTAGTGGAGTGTAGTGAGTGAAACGTAATGCAGTGAACATGTGCGATGACGAAGCGTGGTCCCTCCACCTACACCGGAGCTCCTGAATGAGAACTACGGAACTTGGTACGTAAGTTTGATCTAATTTATTTGATCTAAAGAATGTTTTACTAGACAAATGTCCACTCGCTCCAGTTATCGAACAGGATTCTAACCTGCGCCTTCCGCTATCTGGGTAATTAAATCTAACGGATTAATAAACAATATGGTAAATCCATTATTAGATGCTTTTTTAATCATACTAATGTTATAAATACACTAAAGTAACTCTGTCTGCTACTTTACATGAACTTCGGTAAAGAAGATATAGATGAACATATAGGCTACTTTTTACAATGAAAATAAAACTTAAACGAGAGTGAAAGTCTCAACCCAACAAGAATATTTTCATGTAAAATATTGCCAAGATGAGACCATATGACTCGTACTATCAAAAAGTTATCAGATCTTTGAGCCAAGCTTAGTTTTGGTAGGATCTTTATTGTCTGGAGTCATGTTGATTGTGTTTTTTTAGTTCAGAGTTCCATAAAAATTGTGTATTTCTCAGTTCAATTTCAATTAGATCCAATTTCGATATCAGTCAGTATATTTGTATATTTTTTATATAAGTAGTTACTAGCTTTTCCAGCGAACTTCGTACCGCGATAAAAATAGGGGTTGGTGGTAGAAGGGTGAAAATTTAGGTTGAATGTATTATTGTATGATGTATCATAAAAAAATAAAAACCAAAAAAAACTCCAAAACAAAAATTAGGTTGGACCACCCTTAACATTTAGGGGGATTGAAAAATAGATGTTGTCCGATTCTCAGACCTACTGGATATGCATGTAAAATTTCACGAAAATCGGTCGAGCCGTTTCGGAGTAGTTCAATTACGTACACCGTGACACAAGATTTTTATATATTAGAAGATTGATACGAATTATGTCATATGTCATAATAAATTAATCAAACTACAATGACGAATAAGGTACTTATATGACAAGAAAAACACGTCTGTCGCGCTGCTTATAAAAATTATACCAATAAAGTATAGTATGGCCTCATATAGCATTTCATGCGATCGAGTTAACAACTATAAATAAGCCAGCAACTGCTATTAGGAATGAGTGACTTATCTTTTGCGTCATAAATTCGATTTTGCTTTATCAATCGAGACATACGGTCAGTTGTGCTAAAAAACGGGGTCCTTAGCTCGATTTAAGAGTATGTTGTTATTTATTTTAATAGTTTATGAGCGTCTAGTGGTTTTTATAGAAAAACTGAATGTATTTAAAGTTGATAAAAATCGTATCCAACAATTTCTTTCTCACGTATGACAGCCGGCGCGGCGTAGCAGCAACTTGATCGGTTGCTAAATCCGCAAAAGTTGGGTTGCCGAAACAATTGGGGTCAGTGACCTGTCGACCGCACTGTCAAAGATGATGCTGCCAAGAGGCGTAATAGGCATAAAATGTTGGGATTGTTTAAACCTGCGCTTTAAGCTGTTATAAATAAAAAAAATATTTAGAGAAAATACCTCCGCCTTACAGAAGAGGTGCAATAGGCATAAAATGTTGTTTATTTATACCATAGACCTAAAACTGCTTTTGGAGCGTTCCCGTTTGAGAAATTAACCTTTCAACAGACCACACTAGCACAGTGAAATAACACTGCCTACGGGAGCCTATTACTAAGACTTCACTGTCTGTTTCTCTCCAGAATGTATCTCATGAACCATGATAGCTAGACAGAAATTTTCACAGATGATTTGCTTCTGCGCTCTAACAAAAAAATAAACATTTAAAGGGGGATCCTTTACAACAAACGTTATTTAATTTGCCGATTTTTGTTCATAACGGCAACAGGTAGACAGGCTTGTAATATTCAAAAAATATTATGAATATTCAAGGGGAGCTTCCGTGCAACGTACAACTGAAATGATTTTTTTCCATGTTTTGCTGGTTATTATAATATGTTGTCTAGTAAATGGTAGAAAATGCTTCGTGCGCGAGTTCGACTCGTATTAAGCCGGTTTGTTATCTTCGCCTGCCACCACACCACACCATTTCCAAGTTGTACCCACAATTTTCACTCGCAAGTTGTCATGAAATGATTTAACTCAGGGAATTTCACGATGAGTTGTCATTTCATCACGCACATTCAATGTCCACAGATATCAGTACGCTCAACGCTGTGAAAAATATAGTATGTTGAAAGAAAAGCTATTCTGACGTGGTCCGATACATATTCACATTTACTTCGTTATCAACAGCGTTTGTTTGTGAATCGATCTATTTTAATTTAACGCACATTATGCGTGTTTTTTGCGGTTACTTTGGCAAAAACGACACAAACATAAGTAGGTTCCATCAATCACTATAATAATTATATTCAATCATAATCAAAATCATTTATTCAGTTTAGGCTGTTACAAGCGCTCATGAATGTCTAGAAGCTACCCCATCGGTTCGTAAATCTACGGCGGGAGACCTTGTACTGAGAAGAACCGTCAAGAAATGGACTAACTGTAAAAATGTCAAATTGTTGACTATAAACTCACTTTATTTAAAAAAAACCACTACTATAACCGAAACTATGTATTTTCCAACCAACTAACAACAACGTAACTAGAGAAACGACGACATTGAGGAGTTTTTAATGCTTTGTAAATTTAACATAAACTATACCATGGAGGATGGTTATACAAAATATATCATGTAAACATAAGTTTAAATATAATCTTTAAGATATTTAAATAAATAGATAAATCAACTTCAACACTCAGTAAGGGCTGTTTTTTCTCTCTGTTTTATTATTTACAGAGTCGTGTAGTTGAAAAATGACTTCAGAGATAATTCATTTAGGCACAATTCATTACATATTGATTAAATATACATTAATTGTTTACACCTGCATTTTGATTGCTGTCTCAAACAGTATAAATTACAAATGGTCTTATTTATATTAAGTGTAACTTTCTTGTTCATGTTCACTGTATGTCATTTAACACTGACATACATCGAAATAGAGAGAACGCAATCTGTAAAATCCAGTATTCTATACAATAGCAACACAATATAGAATGCCAAAAACATCAGGGCAATCTATGAAAAATATTCATATTATACTTTGCCTTGATATTCTATACAATGCCGAATACGTAGTCAGCAATATCTGTAAAAGAAGATAGCTAGTCGACTTTTGCTTATATTATTTGTCTATTACTTATTAGGTGGCTGTGCTTCGCCGGCCGCTTGCTTTGCTCGCTCGGCTCTTACTTATTTACCCTTACCCACTGTGAGTTGGTCAACGGTTCATTAGTCTGTAGCTCATTCAGTGAGAATTATAAAATCCGTCCGTCATTTTATATCCTACTGGAACGTGCACGCGTCGGTATCGCTTGAAGTTTGTTTTGTTTGAACTAATCAATCAAGTATGAAACTATCCGTCTGACACACTACTTCATTCACTCGCTCTGTAGTTGGAAAGAAACTGACACAAAATCATTATAAATTTGAATTGAAACGGCGAAGGCGATGCCTTCAGTAAGAGCTAAATGAAACCCTTTAAAAACCGCAAAATTTTTCGCTTTTTAGGAAAACCGGTTTTTTAAGGTTAAGGTAGAGCCAAACCTAAATAAAACGCTCCTAATGTACTTGACACTGATTTAGGTTTGAAAATTAACCGGTAAACAAGCCCTGGTCCAAATTACTTTAACCTACTTAACTACTAAAATATTATTTAGTATTTATAATATTTCATACATTGCCTAGACGTGCCAGGCATTATAATACATTGAGTGGGTATAGCATAGAATACCGGAATCATACAAATTGTCGGTGACATCTTAATTTGTTCCCGTGAGTACTCAGTGAGTTTCCATACAGTTTCAAGTACATGCGGCGTCTACTTCAATCATGGTCTGTGGCCGGAACTGTGAAAAACACAAACAAACCATTTAATAAAGAGGAAAAAGCAATAAGTTAATTTCGAAAGAGGACCGTTAATGACAGCTGAACAAAGACACATTGGTCCAAGTATCGGAAACCATAATATTAATGATTGTATAAATGTCGCCTAAGATGATTTGATAAACGTTGTATTATTATATTGTATAATACATAACCCAGAACAAAAAGTATAGTCTACACCACAGCCAAGAGTGTGGCACTAATAGTTACTATTACAGCACATTTATATACAGAGCGTTCCACGGGTTTGTCACACGGAGGGAAAGTACATTAAATATTGAAGATAGGATATTTTACTGAAAATTCATTTTCAATAATAAGTAGCATTCACAGTTTTTTAAAAATCGCCTGCCGAAATTTCATTCATTTAAAATGCTATGTTATTGACGAAAAACTAATCCTTTCGATGGTTATTATAAAATATTCACGAGTTTGATTCCCATTTGTAGCAGGCGATTTAAAAAAAAACTGTGAAAGCAGTACTTGTTATTATTAAAAATAAATTCATGTCTTCTTTCAGTAAAATCCTAAATATCTTCAATATTTTTATGTACTTTCCCTCTGTGGGACAACAAACCCTTGGAACGCCCTGTATATCTAATATGTATATGTCGGAGGACGATTTGCTAAACCGATTTTTCTTGCGATGAAAACGCGGATAATTTGACAATGGCGATGACGTTACTCAATCTTACTGTTTTAACAATTTTTTTTCTGACCCTTCGCTGTTCGCTCTGTTTTTGCGTCATGGTTACAACACTAACCTTACCTAACTTATTATGAAATAGTAGCCTCAAATACGGGCAGTATATTATTAAACACGTTGAAAGGACATTGTTCTGCGTTCATACATAGTTAGCCTAAGAACCAACAATTATGAAATATTATTTTCTAGGTTCAAAATCGCAAGTAAATGACTGTAAAAACAAAGATTATTGACGGACACTTCTGAGAACTTAATTTATTAGGAAAACTAAAATTTTTTTCAGGTTATGTTTAATATTCAATGAAACATAGGTCAACCTATGAACTCAGTATGAAGTGAATTATTATTACAACTAATTCATTTTATTCGGTGCGATTTTAAAGAATGACTATCATTTTAGGAAAAACTTGGTTAGGTAGGAATCATGAATAAAATAAAAACAATAGTTTTGCTTCTTATTATTTATTGATTTGACAATTTTCACATAATTGTATCGTATGTGTTTATTTGTTTAACACATAGCGTGAATATGTATCAGGTGCCCTTGAATAATTTGGCAGTATGATCCTCTCAGGATGTTGTGGCACAGGTTCACTAACACTTGGTAATAAGGTATCTGCTCTTTGGTAACATCGATGGCATATTAGATAGCCGAAATAGTAATAGTTAAATTAAAGGAAAAACAATCACAAATAAACACACACAACATGTAATCCGAACGAGAATTTTCCGTATATAAAAAGTACTCTTTGACGAGAATGCACGAATGCCACAGATTACTTACTACGAATGCAAACTGCCTGCACCACAACCACAGAGTATCGAGTTTATGCCGGCCCTTCACTTGACAACAGTTTGTCCTTGTCATGTTTAATAAGGAATGAAAAGGACAGACTGATGTCATGTTTTTAAAAAGCAAATACGAATAGCCAAGTGAAGTGCTGGCATTAGGAAGAAAGTGATTTTTATTTGCAGCGCTGTCATAGATTATACACATAAAATGGTATTTATTGTCTCAGATTATTTATTAACTTTTTAATTTGGCTTACTTAACTGGAAGTGTCCGTGACAATCTAAATACTGATAATTATCGCAAAAAACATACTAAGAATTATCATAAATGCCAAATTGGTGTTGGTTCTTAGGCCAATTTTAACATTGTCCTTTGTATAATAATAATAATCTAGTTAAGAGACAAATTGTAAAATAATTGAATATAAATTATATGAAAAAAATGTTGTGAACCCAAGAACCTAACAATATTTAGAATGAACTAACGACTATTTTCGCAAAAATCCTATCTTTTTCAGTATGATTGAGAAGTGTCATCGCCATAGTCTAATTATCCGCGTTTTCACAAAATCCCTGTAGGTATACTATACTTTTTGTTCTGGGTTATGTTTGACATAATAATACAACATAAATGCCACTTATTACAATTTAAATAAAGTATCCCAATTCTATGTGACGTTAGGCTAGTTAGAATGTCAGTTAATTAAACTAAAGCAGCCGCATGAATAGATTTTTGCCAAATGCAGTGTTATTCAATTGTATCGATTACTAATATTTCTGTAACGAGTTATTGTTATTGGGGCTACAAAGTCATCGGGGCAAGGAAACAAAACCTATATCAATGAGAGAAGCGAAAACAACTAAGAAAATTCGCATTGAGATGGGCGATTGTTACTGATTCCAATAATCGAATGGTTTCATAAGTTACTACTAATATTTACGACCAAATTCAAAAACAAACGAACGGTGGTTCGCAAATTCGATTGAAACCAGTAGTTAGTTGGTAGTTTTATTTATTCACTTTGCCATACAACATTAATGTTTTCTCGTGCCATAAAACCTTTTAATTGATATTTGTAGCAATAAGTAAATAGTTTCTGATTTGCGCACTGCTAGTTCATTTGTTCAGTTTGCCATACCAAAGTGAGCATTTTAAATAGTTGATTATTATCCGAGTACTTCCAAAAGTGTCGGTGCTACACGAAATTGGGTATTTTAGACAGTAGATACCTATGAGATATTTTTTTTGATAGGGGAAGGAGATTGGACCTTGTCCCAACACGCGGGCCCAGGGCGGATTTTTAGGTGTTTAAAACTGCACATGCAGCCGTGAGCTAAGGCTGGACGGGATTTCCCAAGAGCGAAGGAGCTCGAGATAATAAACTTTTGATCACCAATCTTAAAACTGACCATTGCGGAAGTTGCTTAACTTTCACGCAGACCAAACGCATTAACCACTGCGCCTTTACACTCCTATATCTACGTAAATAGGTCCTGCATACAAGCAAAATCAAATAAACAGTGATTGCGTCTTGCTTAAAATATTTTTTTCCCACACAAATTTTAATTCCCTATTTCAACCCCCTAAATGATGAGAAATGGGTTATTTATTTCCTCCTCAAATCTCCCCGTACAGCAGTTTAGCCGTGAATGCGTGACAGACAGACATGCTTTCCCATTTATAATGTGGTTAGCGTTGCCAGGCGTCCGGAGAAAACCGGACATAGTTAGTCTTTTTGATTGCGTGTCCGGCCAAAGTAAACGGCGTCCGGCTTGTCCGGCTTTTGTTAAGGTTTTTCATTTCGCAAACGAGCGAGCGCCGAACGTTTACATATTTTTTTTGTCGGACCTAATATTACTGAGTCACAAAATCCTTAACAATGTAGGATGTCCGGTCTTTTTACCCAAATGTCCGGCCAAATTGGCTGGTCTGTTCGGCTATTAGGTTTAACGACCTGGCAACCCTAAATGTCGTCTTAATTTAAGTAAGTTAGGTACATCTTCGAAATAATAGTGACAGTTTTACATAAAAAAAGGCATGTAAGGCGTCCAAGACGGTAGTTAGTAGGCTTACAGGTTTAATTTTAATTCATCATCATTTTAATGATTCAATTATCAAGACTAATTCGCAACAAAATGACACTGAAATTAATTTATCATTGTTTTACAAAGAGCTCAAGGAATGAATGAACCGAATGTCATGATGTGTTACTCGGTCATTGGCCTCCATAAACATGGGTAGGTGTTCCGAAAATAAACAACGACTCTACATACTACTATATTATAAATTCAAAAACAGCTGAGTGTCACTGTGAATAAACATTTTCATATAAATGGCACAGCGAAACAAGGCTTTTAAGTTTAATAAAAAAACTCTTAGTAAGTATGTAAATATTTTGGTAAACTCCGAAACGTAAATATGTATAGCTATCAATATAGTTAACGCTATAATAATATTTAATATACCATTATCAATGTTATGATAATAGATATTACGTAAAGCGCATATTTATCATAATAATATTCTTATCGTTCATTCATACTCATTCAGTGACGTTGCGATGACGTAGCGTAGCGCGCCACGACCTACTCGAATCATACATAATATTCAAATATAGAATGTTAGGGCGCCCCCACCATCAGCTGTTAGGGGGTCGGTACTTCCTTATTGCATTATCCTGGCAAGTTACAGACCTGAATGAATGATAGTGGAAAAAATATTCATTCATGAATTTTAAAAAGGGTTTCGTATGCACGCGCAATATTTCATGTCGAAGTGCTATTGTTTTATTAATGATTTTAATTTTAAATTAAATTTTCTTCTTTTTATTTATTAATTCAGTTTTTTTTATTTAGTAAAATGTTCTGATTGCTGAATTAATTGGAATTCAAGGAATTAGCATCAGCTGCTCAGTAATTAAATAAAACACAAATATGTTTAATATATTTATTTACATGAATTATTCTGATAAGTTCCAATCTAAAAAAAATTAAGAGGTGGTTGTTTTTAGGATTCCGTGTGCAAAGATTGGTTGACAGCGGGTTGAACCCTTATAAAATTACACTTCGATATATCTCCTTGTATTTCATGAATCATAATAGCTACTTAATAGGGTAGTTACCAAATTTTTTAAAACTGCTTATATATAAAGATAAAGATTGGGAAAAACGATATAGCAGAAATTTATTAATAAATAAATTAATGTTTTTTTCTCCATTAAACCAATTAAAGTTGAATTTATTTTTAATGGTTTTGCCAAAACACTCGGTTCGATAACGTCTACTGTGTGACGTCAACATTGTGTATGCTAAGTTAGGTCAAATTATTAACTTTTTTTACTTTCGAGATTTTAGAGTATAATACTTAGTACACGAAAATTTTGAAAAGAAAAGAAATCGTCAAGTATTTACTCCGTAATCACAGATTGTCCACATACTACATACCTAGGTGTTAAAATTCTTTACACAAAGTGTAAAAATATGTTAATCCCGAAAATCCCGGTATTTATTACATTTAATCCCGAAAATTATCGGGCCTAAAATATGACCGGTATCCCGGAATCCTGGGTTCCGGGATCCCGGGATCGAATCCTCTATACAGAACTCACTTACAAATAAACGGAGTTTTAGGATTCCATACTGATATCGGAACCCTATCGACGTGCCTGCTTCCTTTATCTATCTGCCTATATTTTGAACTTAATCACGTCAGATACCAGATTTTTGAAGTGAAAACTTCTTTAGCGGCGTTGTACACTTTTTTTGTATGGGTAAAAAATGTTAAACTCGCGTCAGGACACGTGGCCTGATTGCGTCCAGGACACTTCGTATAAAAGGAAAACAATAAAATTGGAATGTTGACTTTCAATATATTGGACGAAACATAGTTATATTTTATAATATCGTATTAAAATAAGAAGAAATACATTTTTTTACAATAGTCTCTAGGTGCGCTTAAATGTGATTTATGTAAGTTGATTTTTCTGAGAGATAAACGTTTTAATGTAATATGTTTGTGTACTATAGCGCAATTAATAAATATTATATTATACCATATAAATGATGGTACTTTTATACTGATAATTAAAGCAATTCGTGCAAAATTATTCCCTAACCATTCCAAATTATCAAAAATGCACAACGTTAATATTCAAGTTTTAACTTTTGCCTTATTATCTTACTTATAATATCAATTAAATTTATGCTAGCACAACATTCCTTAAAAATGTGTAAATGTTAAATGGGAGGAGCACAGGAGCCTGACATTCAGGTTTTTTCTTACATCTACTTCCGGCACAGAAGTTACTCAAATAATTATATGATCACAAATGAAATTGACTAAATATTCTGTACAAAATTTTATCGAAGTAAAATATATTATTATTGTAATTTTGTTTAATTCCAGACGTGGCATGGACAAGGAGAATGGCGAGGGGGGTGCCGAGGCAGGCAAGCCGCCGCCTCAAGACGGCCTCCTCGACGCCGCAGGTCTCTTTGGAGGTAAGCTGTACACATAGTCATAGCAGCCCCTGCAACTCTTCCAACGCAAGCCCTAAACACTAACCTGCGCAGACGAAGGACTTATGTCACCAGTATTTTTTTGTCCGCGGAAATATATCGCTTACAACTGCACTGAGGAACACACACGACGGATTAAAAGTACTCTGTACAAAAAGTTAAATTAACACCGAGGCGCCGGATAGGACAAAAGTTAAGTTATCGGGGACACCTGGTCCCCGAAAATATCGAACTCATATGACTAGGCGCAGCACACAGCGAACTTTAGTCCGCGATGTGCGCTTGATCTGATTTAAGGGAATGGATTCAGTAGTCTGTTTTAAAATGTCTTCTCTTTATCTTAAACTTCATAATTACATCATAACGTAATCTGAACATATTAACTTCCATAGCGTGCGCTTTGCTTAATTTTCGGATGACAAAGTTTCGCACACTTTGGGTCGACGGATATTTTCTTCACGATTTAGGGACTTTGTCCTCCTCAGACAAAAGCTCTTCATCTGCAAAAGCTATGACACAACATAGCTGGTACAGTGAACACTTACTTAGCACTAGGTAGACACCGCATCCGCAGCATAAGAGTGCTGACCCGGTCTAAACACGTCACGCACCAGGTAATGGACGTTTCTTTCCGTCCCCAACGACAACGGCTAACTAGAGCCAAGGTCTTAAGGACGCCCTCTTATTGAGGCTTCAGTACCCTGGTGTTTCTAGACTGAGAAGTGACTTACCCCTATGGGAGATGCCATCTGCCTAGAATACCACTAGAGGCACTTGATTTGAGGTCCTTTAGGGACCTTGCCGTTCCCAAAACCGGTAACGCTGAAAAAGTCGTCTGTGACCAACAGTATTCATACTCAAAAAGAAGCCGACCAAGTGCGAGTCGCGCACGAAGGGTACTGTACCATTATCTACACATACAACATTAGACACTATATTAAGATATCGAACAAAAAACGTCAATAAATCACGTTTGTTGTGCAACAGCAATAATCCGCACGCATGGTTGATTGTACAGCACCCAGCAGGATACCGTAAATTCCATATATCAACAAAGTTTTTCAGAGATCCTTTCGTACAATTCTGTGAAATGCTTCTTCAAGGTTCACAAAACCGCAGGAAACCTTCCCGCCCATAACAAGATACTTCTCCCCGAGAAGACTTGATCCGTGTATACCCTTCCGTTCCGGAATTCCCCTAACCTCCCACAGCATTCCACCGGACTTTACACTTGTTCTCCATTTAATTATTTACCTAAACAGTTTAGCTGATCAAACTTATGGCTCCGTAGTACCTGCAGTCCATTTTTTATATTAAAAAGGTAGCAAAGAAGCATATGGTCCGGCATGTTGGTAAGCGGCCACCTCAGCCTATTAAAAGACGCTTGCGATACAAATATATAACACTCGTCGTTGCATATCCAGACAATCTGACCCCATGGAGAACCTTACTCACCGACAGTAACACAACACTACCAAAAGGTAGTGTTATCAAACTGTAATCTTCTGTAAAGTGGAGGTTACTTTCCCAGGCAGGCGCTCCAATCGGAGCGGTGAATCCGCTACGCCTCTTGAATGCACGCGCGAATTCTTACCCTGATGTAAGTACAGAACACAGAAAGAGGTTAGAAGAGGCATGTGGCAATGCTCATAACTTGACCAAATCTTGATTGGTTCGATTATTTGATGTGGAGTGGTTTGATTAGCTATTATCTATTAGTGTAGTAGCCGGCGACATAGATTCCCGTACAAACGGTCGATGATCACCCTTCTAACCTCTTTCTGTGGGATGTGATGTGAGTACAGGGCATAGAGAATTGCAGAGGAGCTCGATGACGCAATAGGTTAGCTAGTCGGGCCTGGGATTATGAAAGATAAACAGTTTTTTCTATGGCCGCGCAACGGATGGTTGACCAAACTTATATTATCAAGGCAAGTCAAGGCTCGGCTGCATCGTTAAAAGATGTGATGTGCATATCCTTTAATATGAAATGAGACCAATAAATTGTATACTTATTGATGTATTAAAAACAATACCGCGACAGAAGTCATTTCTATGTAAATCCGTCATTCTACATTTTCTTGTAAAAGAAATTAAAGACGCCTACATAATACCAATGCAATGCGTTTAAAACACAATATTGAATGAACCATTGCGATTTACCAATTTCAACTCTATTCCGGACAGGTTAAGTAATACAGCAAACGATTAGCGAAACTTGGTCGGTCGGTTGTCTTGAAAGAGAACTCTTGGTGTGTGGGGGGGCAACGACCTTACTGGTTCGCTGCATTCAACATTATTCCTTCATTCAATCGGATTAAAGTCCTTATTTCTATGGTGTTTTGATCATTAGGTAAGCACATCGAACACGACACAAAATTGTGTTTCGTTTCCATGTTTCAATGTACTGTTTACGGCAATGAAGAGTTTTATTTGAACGAAACCGAGATTAGCTAGTCGGCGAAGCGATCGGTTATCGAAAAGCAATATGGCGGAGAGGATAAGTACGGCAACTGTATTGTAACTAGTAATTATTTGGTATCAGACATTACTCTTGCTAGTGTTTTTTTATGCTGAAACGATAACAAAGTGCAAAATAATAACTTGAGTTTGAGTGATACTCTAGTAACGTAAGCGTTTATAGGCTATGGTCGGCCGCTTACCATCAAGTGGGCCTGCATAACGCACACTTATAAGAAAACTGACCTATTTGTACGTCATACGGACAAAAGCTAGTGCTAACGCCACCAACGCAAGTGGTTGTACGTAAAACAACATTGAACTAAGTTCTATAACCAGGTTTGCCGCCCTTTTGTGTACAAACTGGAACTCAAGAATATCGTTTTTCTAGACCACATCTTGACTGGAAGAAGAGCTTTTACTATCCACTCAACCTTTGCGAACCTACTATCCCACTAATGTGAAAGTTTGTATGTTTGTTACTCTATAACGCAATAACCACTGAACGGATTTTAACGAAAGTTGGTACGCATATAGCTTATGACCTGGCCTGAGGCATAGGATTGATAAGACATTTTTATTTCGGAAAACTGTAATATTCCAGGGGGAATTAAAAAAAAAATACCGCAGACGATTTTGCGGTCCGTCGCTGGTACTCCATAACTTTTTGACAAAACTAGGAACCTTTTTCTAGCTTACTGGGGGCGGGATGGCTCGGCGGGCGGCGGCGCGGCCGCCCAGGCTCAAGCGCAGACTCAAGCGGCGCTGTTCGGCTTCGGAGGAAGATACCCACCGCCTACCACGCTCGGAGTTGCTGCCAACCAAGCTGCGTCACTGGGATTACATCCTGCCGCGAGTGAGTAAATTAACTCTTTATACAAGTCATGATTCCAAGGTAGGTAAGCAGTAAGTACTCCTGTATACAGAAAAACTCTTTATGGCCGTTAATTCGCAGCAAAAGCTGTTCGTCTTTGAAACTCTCTTCCAGTTTCCACGTGCACAATCTCTTCATGAGGAGGCTTGGCCAGCAGTGGAGACAGTAAATAGGCTGGAGATGACGTCATAAATAAACACAACCGTATTTGTGCAGGTGCAGCATGGTGGTCAATGGCATCCCACCTGGCCGCTCAAGACTACCTCGCCCGCCTGCAAGCCTCCGGCCTGAACTTCCCTCCCATGGCTGATCCATACTCGGCATTGTCGGCGCTTTCCGCGGCCGGATTAAAACAGCCGCAGAAGCCCAGCAAGCAACCTAGTAGGAACGAGAGGTACATAGGATAGAGCTATGATTTAAAGATTAAAATAACTGCCAGATAAAAGCTTCTGGGCTGAATTTCCCACCGATGGGCGACCCTTATTTGGCGCTTTCGGTGCTTTCCGCTGCCGAACTGAACAGTCGACCTACAAGAAATTGCATAAGACACAAGACAGACAAGGGATTAGCGGTGTCATCTTGTGTCGGAGGCCAAGACTAACTTCTAGTCACTGAGCCAGTGGAGCAAGTGAAGTCTATTACGCACTATCCGTCTTGCTAGATGCAGCATGCAGGACAGCGCCTGTCGAAGTCTTCATCTCTTGTAAAAGTTTAAAGTGCTGTCCCGCATGCTAGATCCAGCAAGATGGATAGCACGTAGAGGATCTAAGTATGTCCGTTGGTCACGCCACGGTCATGATCGTTGAAGTTCAGCAATTTTCGTAGAGGTCGGTCATTGGATGGGTGACGAAAAATTTACTATCTCGAGCTCTTGCGTGCTTCGTAAGGAACGTTAAGCCGTTGGTCCCGGCTGCATCTGCAGTCGCTAGCACCTTCGTGATGGTTCATAGCCCAATCTCCCTATTCCATCTATAGAAAAGGCCTGAGTTGCCGTCCTCAAACTAAAGTGCGGCTAAGTGTCATGTGGTCGAATTTTCTTTCTTAAATTGCATCTTAACAGTTTTTAATTCTCTATCGATCTGTCTTTAACAAGTATTCGTGCCTTTTAGAGTTTGTCTAAAAATGCGTCATGTGTTGAATAGTAAAAAATAAAAATAATTTAAAGTTTACGCGCCGATTTTGGTCATATCTCAAAAGTTGGTTTTGCCATTTAGCCGCGTTTTAGCTTGAGGACGGCAGTGTGCCCAAGCAGTGGGCATATTAATAGACAAATGATGATGCATGCTCATATGATTTTTTCCAGATCAAACCGCAGCGGAACTACTTCAGGGTCCTCGAGCAAGGAGAAGACTCCATCTACTAGCAGTAGTAACTCGCAACCGCATATGAGTGAGTGGGGCACGTATCGCTTTTACCGCTTACGGTATAAGGTTCTAAATTGCTTGGCAATAGACAGTTTTAGTACCATAAGTTCTCAAAAGTGTAGATTAACAAGTATAATAGTAGATAAACTTGTTAGTACTAGCATTGCCGATTATAATTTCATATAAGATTAAATATCAGTAAAGGGTCTTGTGATTGGATTTCGATTTTAACACTAAAGTTAGTCGATGTTCATACCCTAGTTATATTTGCATGCAAATGGTATACGATAGATGGCGCTAACACAAATATGTCAGTATCCTGTATGACATAGGTCAGTAATCCATTCTACGAGGAATATGCTCATTAATAATTTTATTCTTTATTCACTAGAATTCAAAATCGCTTGGCAATAGGCTAATAAATATTTGTAATCATACTTTTTATTTATTTAGCTAGCTTTGCGTTGCATTTTTAGTTTACCTACTTATTAACAACTACAAAGATTGAGAAACTGAACATTATCATGCTGTGCGACTAGAAACTTTTTCTTTTCCTTATTTTTGTCAAAAAATATCGTACAATTAAATACCTGAGGTCTGGTGGATACTTATGAATGCGTACATATTTTTAATTTTTATGAGTATCAAAAATACCAATATTATTAGGGCAGATTAAGATATATGGGGGGAGGGCGGGGGGGCAATCTTGCACCTAGTGCAATACTCCCTCCATACTAGAGCCCTCTTTAGAAACAAATGTCTAGGCCGGCCGAAAAAAAATTTTTCAACAATCTGACATGTCGTTTCGTCGCGTCCAAATCGTCAGTCTTTTGAATAAGACCTAGTGGAGCTAACCTTCGGTGGGCAGAAATAACAAAATGAAACCGTAAGAGATAGTGATAGCCATAGCAATTCTCAAAATTACTCACCTACCCTTATAACATTTATATGGTATTTCTTTTACGTTACCCTAGTCTCTGATAACACAAGCGGTACAGTTCTTAGTTGGCTAGGCCAATGGAGAAGAAAACTGCCAATTTATTCCGCCAGAGGCGCTTGTCGAATGGCCCTTAACAACCAATCGAGACAGCTGTCAAAGTCAACAGGAAAACCGAAAAATTCCGATAGACTTGGGCTGCGTTCCACACCTTAACTCCAGGTGTAATCAATGTCAAATTTGACGATAACTTTCATACGTTATAAGTCAAAATTGCAACGTCAGGGTAAAAAGTTGCAATTGGGGCGAAGGTTTAGAACGCAGCCTTAAAGTGACAGGTTTCAGTGCTCTCATGGGCTAAACGGCCAAAGCGCCATCTTTGATGAGCTTTGCGTTTTCTTCCCCATTGGTGTGAGTGTAAGAACTATATTTTTATATTTTTGTCACAATGCTACGCGAAGGTTTATAAGTGTACGAAGTTATGTCAAAAACAATAACGGTATATGATATTCCAGGGTCCAGCTACGGGTTTCCGAAGACTTCATCGCCGTCCACCATGCACTCGCAGTCGCTGTCCAGCCTTGCGTCGCTCAATAGTCTGGTCTCCTCTCCTCATCAGAGCAAGAGTAGTAAGCAGCAACCGCCGTCTTCCCAGTCCAGTGAGCTCTTAAACATTCTTATATCTTGTCTTTCAATTAATTTAAAACATTACCTTTTTAATTTCTATATTAAAAGGGTGGCAATCAAGCATATAGCCCGCCTTATGAAGCGGCCAATATAGCCTTATAGATGCTTGCGATACAAAACTTCACATTTATTTTGACGACCTCCATGGCCGAGGGGTTTGTACGCCGGGTTTCATGGTGTCGCCGACTCGAGAGGTACCGGGTTTGAATCTCGGTGGGGGCAGATGTTTGACGAGCATTTGTACTCCAGACATGGATGTTTAATATGTATTTCTATATTAAATATACTTATATATGTACCTACTGTATATTTATTCCATATGTTACCCTAGTACCCATAACACATGCCTTAAGAGTGCTTACTTTGGGGCTAGGCTAATTGGTGTGTGTTGGTTTTTTTTTTATTTTATTCCTTACTAGTATGTGAAAGATTGTATGTTTGTTACTCTATCAGGCAAAAACGGCGGAACGGATTTGGATGAAAGAATGATGGGCAATTTGGTATCCCTCACTCACAGCAATAATTGTAGAGACATGTAAAAGGTCTTTATAATGGGAACAATACTCACTATGACAACTTTTACTAATTCTTATCCGGGATGGAGTTATTTTACCACTAATATAACGGACTTTGTATAAAAATAAAAAATGATAATACATATTTATATTATTTCTTCAGGCCATTTAAAATAGCTAAGGAAACAATCACCATCATTATAACTGTGATTTCATTTCCTTAAAAACTAATATTCGGCGGTGGTAAGCCCTCATAAAACCGTTAATTCGATTTTAGGTAACAATTAACTTAAAACTGTTGAATTTTATAATTTTCCGTTTACAAATCCAGACAAGCGCCATACTAGCTGTTATTAAATATAAAAAATTACTTCTAGTCATATAAAAATTATTGCTGTTGCAGTGGTCACCAGGTTCCATACATTTTTGCCCATCATCCTTTCTACGCATTTTAAACATTATGACCTGGGGTATGATTTCCGGCAAAGTGCATAGGCAGAAGCGGATATACCCTAGGGCCAAAAGAGGCGTGGCCGAGTGGTTTGTACGCCGGGTTTCATGGTATCACCGCCTCTAGAGGTTCCGGTTTCGAATCCCGGTGGGGCTGATGTTTGTGATGAATACGATCCTTTGCACACCAGTCATGGATGTTTAATATGTATTTTTATATAAATATACTTATATGTGTACAATGTTTTCTATTCGTTACCCTAGTATCCCATAAGCACAAGCCTTATAGTGCTTACTTTGAAGCTAGGCTAGTTGGTGTGTTTAAAAAAAAATGATGGCCGATTAGTAAAGTTTTGCATTCCCATGATATGTCATGGGATCCCATAGGATGGGATCAAATGAAAGGATTTATTAAGAAAAATACGGAAAGTAACTTATTTCAACTACCATCTAAATAAAAAACTCATTTTTATTTTTAAAGTGAAAACTTCTTTTGCGGCGTTGTACACTTTTATTTGTATGGGTAAAAAATGTTAACGTGACCCAATTGAAAATTCGTAAGACGAGAACAATAAAATTGGAAAAGTGGTTGACTTTCTATATATTGAACGAAACATATAAATAGTAATATTTTATTTTATCTTATTATTATAATAAGTCTCTATCTAGGACGTCCAGGTAGCAGCTTAGTTGCGAAGCAAATGCATTTTTTTTACAATAGATCTCGCTAGGTGCGCTTAAATGTGATTCATGTAAGTAGATTTTTCTGAGAGGTAAACTTTTTAATGTAATATAAATTTTCATGTTTGTGTACGATAGCGCATTAAATAAATATTGTATTCTACCATAAAATGATAGTACTTTTATACAGATTAAAGCAATTCGTGCAAAATTATTCCCTAACCATTCCAAAATATCAAAAATGCTCAACGTTAATATTCAAGTTTTCACTTCTGCCGGAGTGCATCTCGTCGTTTTTTTTTTAACACAAAATTCTTTTTATACCGCTACCTTTCCAGCTCCTTTATAATCCCCTCCATCCCATGGTAGTCTAGAAGAGATCACTCTTAGCGATAAGACCGCCCAGTAATACACTTTATCCAGCTATTATGTACAATGTTTTATATTTTCTGTGGTGTAAAATAAAGACTTTTATTATTATTATTCCTTACAGGCCGTAAGCCGTCTTCTTCGCAGTCATCGTCATGTAAGGGCAAGGAGAGAGACTTGGCTTTATTGCGAGGAGACCTGATGTTAGCGCAAGCTGCGGCTCATGGAGCCTACCATGCTGCCGTCGCTGCTGCCGCTAAGGGGAAGGTATGACCCCATTATTAAAGCAATAGGGACTATTTTACAATAGACATAAGATTATATTTCAGCGTACTAGAGTGGAGAAGCAACTGCCCAGGGGAAGGTTAACCTTATTGTTTTAGCAATACGGGTTGTATTCCTGTGTCGTTACGAGGAGAGCTAATGTTAGCGCAGGCGGCAGGTCACGGCGTCTACTACGCTGCCTTATCCTACGACCTTATTACTAAAGCAAAAGAGACTATTTTACTGTAGAAATGGGACTATATTTCAGCCTTGTTGAGCGGCGACCTGATGGTAGCGCTAGCTGCGCCTACCGCAAAAAGGAAGGTACAACCATATCACTATAGCTATAAGGACTATATTACTATAAAATATATTCCAGCGTTAGTGCGAGCAGATCTGAGGCCTAACGCTGTCGCCAATGGGTACGACCTTATTACTATAGGAACGTGGATTATTTTTCAGCGTTTTTTGCGGGGAGACCGGATATTAGCGCAATATCACGTATCCGCCGCAGCCAAGGGGAAGGTTGATGACCTTATCACTATAGATAGCAATAGGAGTTATTTTACTATAGAAATAGGATTATATTTTAGCGGGAGACTTGATGCTTACTATAAGCAATAGGGACTGTATTCCAGTGTTGTTGCGAGGACATCTAACGTTAACGCATGTGGCTGCCACCTTATTGCTATAGAAATAGGGACTATATTCCAGCATTTTTGTGAGGAGTCTTGGTGTTAGAGCAGGCAGCCGCACAGAGCGCCTACCGACATTATCACTATAGTAATAGGACCTATTTTCCAGCGTTGTTGAGTGGTGAAGACTAATGTTATCATACGCGGCTTTGGCTTCTGCCGACAATGGTAAAATATAATATTTTACAAACCTACTCAATTTGTTGTGATAAAAAAAAAGCTGTACCTACTCTTTTTACCAAAACGAGGATTATACAGACAAAAGCTATCTTTTTCTGTCATTTATGGGCGCTCCAATGTGCGCGATAAATCCGCTCTAACTTACCTCTCTGAAATTTATTTTCATGCTGTCTCGAAGTTTTAATTGCAATTCTATGTTGATAATTTTAACTAGGGCACAAAAATTGACCTTATTACAAACGCGATATGGTATACTTCTGATCGATATTATAATTATGTTTTTTTGTATTGTTTCAGAACATGTCCTCTTTGTACCCTTTCGGTATGCCTGGCTCTGAGAAGGACCGGCATGCTGGCATAGATTCCCTCACCGGTCTACCCCATACCATACTCAGGTGAATATAGCTTTTATACCTTGTTGATAAAGCTCAGAATCTAACTAGATCGCTTTTGTATATTTATTACCTTTAAAGAAACGATAAAATAATTTTTTCCTTAAAGGACATGGCTAAGAAACTGCCCTTAACGTGTAAATATTTTGCACTAGCCCATAATTTTATAATATTTTTTTATTAATTATTACGTGTTTATAATTCTCATACAACTTTCGTGAAATAATCAAATATTTAAAAGTATAAAAATTGACTTCATGTCTGATTCAAAAGAAAATCTTCCGTTTTACTAAATGAACAATAAATGTAAACTAAAAATATTTCTATCAGTTTAAAACCCCCATAAACTATGACATAATTGGCCTTTATTTTTATTATAACAAATCACTGAAGGCCTAAAACAATAGATTTTATTTTTCTGACCAGGCTTCAGAGAAGGCTGTATGATAATTAATGCTTTGATTTTTGCAAATGAACAAAATAAAACTTCGCAGATTTCATGTCAAGCCGACAACAACAAATTATTTGTATTTATTTTACTTTTAAAAATGCTTTTTGTGAAGTGTTAATCAGATAATGTGAAGAAATATTCTAAGAAAATGCGAAATTGATGACTCTGTAAATAATTGACAACCTCTTCATTAAATGTAGCAAGGTAATGACGTCGTAAGAGATCTCATAATTTTCAAGATTGTGACTTTATCAAAAGTTCCTGAGCCCTTTTTCATAGGAATTATAAATATCCAGCCATTGAGCATTATATATTATTAAGTACAATATTTATACATTGCTAGGGCAGTCGGTCATACATAATTTTACCATGTCCTTTTGATAATACAGCTCAGTATTAAATAATAATTTAGAATTTGCCAGAAACAAAGAATAAATTACATTTTTGAGATACATAAATATATATTAACTAATTTGCAAATATATTTTAGTGCTGCTTTGGAAGGAGGGTAAGTAAAAAAATAATTATTTTTATACATTTTAGGTAATATAATTATGTTTATATATTACGGAGTGGCCGATTGTGGCCAAGAGACATTACGATACGATGCGTCCAATACAACGATTGAATTATATAATATTGTGTGTAATTGTTTCGTTCAAGTGATCCTGCCTCAGTACTGGGAGGTGTGAGACTGCCGCCAGACACGGAGATTATTAAGTACACATCATCTTTGGCGGGCCCTAAGGTACGAGTAAGTGAAAACCTATTTTTTCTTTTAATCATATAAGTATATTTTTATATACTTTGGCTTAGCATACCATTTCTTAACATGGACAAATGGACATCCTATATAATCCAGCCGTAGTCGCTTTAACAGCAATTTATTTCGGACTATGTCCATGTTTTGTTAGTAACAATTTCATATAAAAATTATGTTAGTACTTGCTTCTACAACTGCCATTGCATCTTATTCTAGCACTTCACTTGTCTATTCGAGTTTGCTATTTGTAAACTAGGCATCATCATTCCTTAAAACAATCCCGTAAATAACTTATATTACTATAATGTTAGTGACCATGAAAGTTTAAAACAATATATGGTAAGGATATACTGTTGTCAATTTTACAAATAGCAAATACACAAATATCCAAGGGATCTGAATATAATGAGACAATATGTGACTTAATAAAGCATAAAATTAATTTGACTGATCTGTATACGGCTGTCTGTAAGTAGGTATCTATAATACACATCTTGATTCGGACGCGTATTAAAAAAGAAATTTCTGAATCTAACGACTGTGAATATATTCAAACTTCAAAGTATGTACAAGAATACAGGGGAAGTACATAGCAGTTTTTCACTCAAAATGAAGCAATAATACAAGTCTTGGTATTTATATACTTATAGGATATCGCGAGCACTTATTATTTATTTATTCTAATTTACAATAACCCCTCGGCTGTGTAGCCGTCCACTTTGTTTTTTACTTATTTCCAGTTGAACTGTACACCCAGGGTTCATTTATGTCTTAAATCAATCCTGAATAGTTTCTCTACAAACATATCTAAATATATGAAAATAATATTCTCAACTCATGGCCGAAATCATTCATTTACACACGTATAGGGTTAAGGAATGTCTCGTAATAGGTTGAAATACTAATATAACGTTATTATTTGTCGCAGGCACCTCCCGGTACGACGAATAGAGGCCGTAAGAAAACCATATCGCTAGACCCGCCACAAGTGTCCGTGCATCCGTCGTCGGGCGATCGAGCCACCCCAGTGCCCAGTAAAAGGCAGAAAATGGTACGTTTCTTTCTTACGTTATACTTTATACCATGGAGGTTAGAGAGAAGGAGAACTATCGCTACGTGCTAAAGCATTAGCCCGCCTGTCCCTGAAAATTTGTAGGATTTATAGTTCATTTTTCAGCCACCAGCCGCGCTGCCGTCGGTAAGTAGTATCTGTGAAGTTAGCTGTTTATGAGTACAAGTAGATGAAGTTAGTTGAATAATGTACAAATTTTCTTCGCGGCATTGATCATTTCAAATTAGCCCGCTTTTATTGAGACAACTTAGCGATCGCAGCGCCTCACTTATTTTGTCCGTATTCCTGAGACACTATTTTCTACAGCGATCGTTCTCCTTCTCTCTAACCTCCATTCTTTATACTAAGCATTTATTCAGATGAGTATAAATAAGGGTCAATCTGTACTTTTAGCAAGAACCCATATCGAATTTGAATAGTTGAATTAGATCTCGATACGCGTAAAATGTCAAGAAATTTTGTATGGAAATTTGAACGGCGCCACAACGGACGTAATGAGAATTAAAAATCTTCTATGCAAAACTGCTTGACCCTTGAGTCTTGACGCATATCGCGAGATCGAATCGCCAATTATTCGAATTCAATATTGGTTTGAGTTAAATGTACTGCAATCAATTTCAAAGTGGGGCTTAATAACTTGGGTTGATAATACTTTTGAATGTTTAACAGATTTTTATATGTGTTGTCGAGTTAGTCAAGTTATCCGAAACTCACAAATTTCTTTACCCTCACCTTGAGCTTTATTTTGTCTGATATAAGATTTAGAACTAGTAGCAAAAATTTTAAATTCAAACCCTTAAGATTTACATAAACAAACCACCAGAGAATTTACGAAACGTGATTGTGTTTTTATATTGCAATTGTAATACTTAAATCTCTCATTAGTTACCCACATTACAGTCGGGCGGGTCCATTCTTTATAATAAAAAGAATTTTATTTATTTACTTTGGTTTCAGGATGAATACGGCAACTCACGATCATCTGTGGAAGTAATCCGGTTGCCGAACAAACCGGACCGGGGAAATTCCCTGTCCGGCACCCCGCCGCCCAACCTATCGGATTACGCGGGTGAGCGACAGAGATATATTATGAACACTTCATCATTCACACATTAATCTGGTTGCTTGCAAAGAACATAAGGTTAATTTGGAAACGCACTATACATTATTAGAGCAATGAAAAATAAAACAACACTAAAAGCTCCATCAATTTATAAACACAACATTCATTTACTGTCTTAAAACTCTTAATAAATTAATTGACAATAACTTTGATCTGATGTCCAATGAACAATAAAAAAATAAATAAAAAACGAGCGAGCCTTACAGTAGTCGCGTATGATGTGTAACATTTTGAAACCTCACCTTATATTAGTAAAAAAAGAAATAAAACCTACTACAAAAGGAATAAGCCATTTGAAAAACATGTTACAAAATCAAATCAAATAGCGCGCGCTTTCGCGACTTCCTGTTACACACTTCCGTCCCATTTCACGAAATCACTCCCTTAAATTGCAGGAAAGCGAGAGGAAAGATGTTACACATCAAAAAACAAAACAGGACAACGCAGTGGTATTGACAAAATGATGATTGTTTAAAAAATCAATAGGGTGTCATACAATCCCACTCGAAGGACCAAGAGCAAACTTTCCTAACATAAAAATATAGATTAGAATTAATTTTAAAGTCATTTTTCTTATAATATCACTATATTTTGATAAAAACTTTTACTTGATAAACACGTACATAAATTCACACACATCATTGTTGCAATTATTTTGATTTTATATTTTTTACATATTATTTCGTATTATCCTTTCGTAGTTCCTGTGTTATCAAAACCGCCTAAAACAGTGTTAAAATTACTAAATTCATAAATTAAAAACCATGCCAAAAACTCATTGTAGGTATGTCATTCAGTTTTATACAGCTCCTGTAAAATTTAATTTTATGTTATTATACTGTTTTGTTCGCCAGCTCCTCATATATTAAGATTTTCTAGTGATTGCTCCTGTATTATTAATATTATTTTACTCAATTATACTAATATTTTCTCATGTTATTCCTTAACGCAGGCATATCTCGTGAGTTGCTGCAGACCATAGCTAGTCAAAGCGGCGTGAGTCTGGCCGCGTTGGAGAGGCAGCTCGCCGGCACCGCCGCTACGCCCGGTATGTTATGCGATAGTGAGCCCTATCGATTTAATGTTAAGGTGCAGTACCCCTAGCACGAACCAATATCGAATTCGTATCGTTTGCGAGTCTGAAATGTCATTTTCAAATGTGTATTTTTAGTTCTCGTTACGTACTTTGTGCCGCTGCTGTTCAAGTTTCCATACAAAATTTGACATTGGCATTTCGGTTTGCAAACTATTCGAATTCGATAATGGTTCGTGCTAGGGGTACTGTACAGTACAGTATACGGGTCATTACTAGTCAGAGCGGTATGTTACGGAATACTGAGCCCTATGTATATAGTCTTAAGAACGGACTCGAGCTGAGAGACATTTGAGAAAAAGGTATTTGAAAACACTATTGCTGTCGCGCATCGGTAAATACCGTGCAATAGAGACAACGGGATACTTAGTCCTATATAGTGTTAAGGTGCAGTATGCGGGTCATAATCAGTCAGAGCGGTATGTTGCGGAATACTGATCCCTATGTATATTGTTTTAAGAGCGGACTCGAGCTAAGAGACATTTGAAAAATAGGTATTTGAAAACACTATTGCTGTCGCGCATTGGCAAATATCGTGCAATAGGGACAACAGTAGGCTAACGGGATACTGAGCTCTATGTGTATAGTGTTAAGGTGCAGTATGCGGGTCATAACTAGTCAGAGCGGTATATTGCGGAATACTGAGCCATATGTATATAGTGTTAAGTTTATACATATATTAAAAACGTGTATGCAAAATTTCAAATCAATGGTGGAGAGTAACTAACTGTTTTAAAATTCAGTGGCAAGATTAGACCCGAACATACATACAATAACACTACGTACTTGTTAAATAAAACTTAAAAAAAAATCTTCTATTTTGGAGCCATAATGTAGCTTTATAATGCACGATACATACGGTATAAAGTGAGAGGGGGTAGTGACTAACACGTCCAGTCTACGACTGTGGAAGCTAAGAAACTTTCGCGATGGCCGATCTCAGAATGGGTAACACAAAATTCACTATCCTATTCTCGAGCTCATTTATCCTTCCGAAATCATGTTAAGTTGTAGGTCTCTGCTTCATTTGCAGTCATTAGCACCCACCAATCCACACTGGTCCCACGTGGTGGTCACAACTCTTTCACCCTATTTGCATCCATACGGAAGGCCCACAGAACACTGAAAGAGTTTAGAAGGGCCTTGTGTGTTGCGAAATCTATTCCCGTACAAACGGTCTATGATCACCCTTCTAACCTTTTTTTGGGTACTGTGGGAAAGCCTATGTCCCAGCAGTGGTATGCTGATATGGCAGCAATAAATAGGCTGATGATTATGATTCGTCAGTATTATTAACTGCGACCGTATCGTCTTTCTAATATTATTATAGGAGCCATACGAGCTGACGGCTCACCTGATGGTAAGTGATCGCCGACCTGTATAAATACCTGAAACACCAGGAGTATCAAATGACGGCCTTTAAGGAAAAATTACGCTCGCTCTTTTTTGAAGGTTTTTGGGTCATATTGGTAAGTTCGTATTTGGCTTTACAATAAAGATATTTTTTCTTTGTTTTTGTTTTAGAATCCGGTCTGAACCTCAGCACGAAATCCGGTGAGGAGACGCCTCTAGATTTGGGCGTGAAGGCATCTTCTATGGACGAAGACGCACCACTCAATTTATCATTAAAACCTACACCTAGTAAGTAATAATTTATAATTCATTTATTGCAATCTCACCTTAGATTAAATCAAAAAGGGAAGATACGCCAATCACGTATGAAAAGGAAGCCGTGAGTTAAATTAAGTGCACAATTTGACACTCAAAATGCTGCATGTACACTTATAAAACAGATTTGCCGTTGCCGAACTATATTTTTAGATGTTTATGTCTGAGAGTTACTTGTGTAGTTGAGTCTTAGCATTTTTGATTTGAGGCAAGTAAGAGTCTACCGTATCTTCCCTTTTTGATTTTATCTAAGAATCTGACATATTTATTTCAGAATTTGTGAAGGTCTTATTTGAGGAGCTGGTGAACAAAATGGTGTAATTACGTATCTGCTCAAAATACTTTTTTTACAGTCCGGATGTTTTCTGAATTTGAATTTCAACTCATTTTCAATCAAAACCACCTAAAACAGTGTTAAAATTACTAAATTAATAAGTAAAGAAATATGCCAAAAGCTCTCTGTAGGTGTGTCATTCAGTTTTTTACTGTTCCTGAAATTTTTAATTTTATGATATTATGCCGTTTTGTTCACCAGCTCCTCATTTATAAGAAGTGACCCTCCTCGCTGCGCCACCGTGTTGACTATAGTTTTTGTTTTCGGGCTTGTATTATTTATACATTAAACCTTCTCCTTGAATCGCTGTCTGTACACCGTAGGCTACAAATTGTAAATAATTATATCATTATACAATTTCTATTGGAAAAACTCGGAGAATGGACAGATCATTGTCTTCATGAAATTACTGACTCTGTAGAAAGAAAGAAAGGATAAAAGGTGCAAAAGAGACAAATCTATCGTACGGCCAGTAGTTCGCATTCGAATTTACCTTATAGCTGGTTATATAATGCATGCACAGTCTGTCTTTCTTTTTTTTCCTTTTTTATAGCGAGGTAGGCAAATGACTACCCCACCTGATATTAAGTGGTGATAAAGTCTAAACGCGAAGATAGCTGGTACAGTAGTTATAAACTGCTACACCAACCATCCTCACCTTGCCGGCTTGCAAAAATGCTTCTTCACGCCTCTCTTATAGGACCCAAGATTGTAGGAAGGAGGGAACCTTTCTAACCCCTTATGAATAAGCGAGGAATAAACTTAAACTAGTCACGCCGTATTTTGTTCATATCACACAAATGCCATTTGTAATTCAATGATCACAGACAAAACATAGAGTAACTAATCCAAGTTAATTCTTTGTTTTTTTAATAAGGGGGTCAAAGTTTATGGAAAAAGCTAAGCCTCAAATAGGTTATTTTTGAAATTATTGAAACTAACAACATAGTTAAAGTAGCTTCTCTGCAGAAAGCAATCAGTACCCCTAGCACGAACCATTATCGAATTCGTATCGTTTGCGAGTCCGAAATGTCATTGTCAAATGTGTACTGATTTTTAGTTCTCGTTATGTACTTTGTGCCGCTGCTGTTCAAGTTTCCATACAAAATTTGACATTGACATTTCGGTTTGCAAACTATTCGAATTCGATAATGGTTCGTGCTAGGGGTACAGTTACCTTAGCACGAACCAATGTCGAATTCGTAACGTTTGCAAGTACGAAATGTCATTGTCAATTGTGTACCGATTTTAATTCCTCATTACGTACGTTATGGCGCTGCTATTCAAGTTTTCATACAAAATTTGACAATGACATTTCGGAATCTCAAACTATTCCAATTCGATATTGGTTCGTGCTAAGGGCACTATACCCAACTAATATCTAACGTTAATTTGTGCGTTTTGTTTTTGTAACAGCCAGCCATCAAGCTTCGGACGCGCTGTCGAGGTTGACATCTTTAAGTAGTTCCTTAAATGCGTCGGCCGGCAACGACAGGATATGTAAGTGGTGACTGTAAAGAATATTAATATTATATTTAAAAAAAATAGAAAAAAATTGAGTGCGCGGAAAACAAATCACGTAACATTAGGCGGTGCATAAGGCATAGGGGGGAATGGAGGAGCGCACGCATCACTCATATATATCTAATATATAAAATTCTCGTGTCGCGGTGTTTGTGGTTAAACTCCTCCGAAACGGCTTTCCCGATTCTCATGAAATTTTGTATGCATATTGGGTAGGACTGAGAATCGGACATGTTAAGGGTAAATCTACCCCTAAATTTTTTTTTCAATTTTAGATATTTTTTTTTATATTTTTTTATGATACAGCATTAGTAAATACATACTACCCTAAATTTTCACCCTTCTACCATCAACCCCTATTTTTTTATGGCGGTACGAAGTTCGCTGGGTCAGCTAGTATATATATATACTAGCGGACCCGACAGACGTTGTCCTGTCTAGTATGGTAGCGCCGTCTGTCGGATCCAATGTAAAACATTCCAAAATCAACAACTACTAATAAATTAAAAATTAATTAAAAAAACATTGTCCAGCGGACAAAATTGTGAATCTAAACCATTCTCAGATCCCCTTGAACACACACAAAAAATTTCATCAAAATCGGTCCAGTCGTTTAAGAGAAGTTCAGTGACATACACACTCACAGAAGAATTATATATGTAAAGATATATATTGTCGCGTGTGACGCTCGTAGCGTTTTAGCCTTCGCCCTCCAACTTTCTTGCTCGTCGGGATTTGATTTTAAAACATAATGTTCAAATGGCTTATTCCTTTTGTAGTGGAATTTATTTCTTTTTTACTTATATAGGGTGAGGTTTCAAATGTGACACCATACACGACTACTGTAAGGCTCGCTCGTTTTTAATTTATTAATTAATTTGTTCGCTTGCAGCCCGCCGTAAGCCAGGGGCGAAACCTCGAAGGGTAGCGCCGGAACTAAATACGCAAGTGGCAGACTCTCCCAGACCCAAGTCCAGTGGCAGTGAGGACAGCGAATGTAAGTTCATTATCACAAGCATATAATTATTTAATGCTCATAGATGAATTTCATGCAATTATCGGCGGCGCAAGAAAAGCGGCTTCTTTATTACACTGTTTACGTAACAGTGGCAATGACATCCTGAAAATGATAGCTGCTAGAATGGACTCTCTCATACAGAGACACTAGGTAAAAGGAGCCATGGGACTTCAAAGATAATAAAAATTAAATTAACATGTATTAAATTAAATTGACATGTATAATATACGATAATAGTGTGTAAATATAATCAATATGGCAGATAATTTAGTAATTTAAAAAATAACTTATTACTATAAGTACTCATAATACTAACAAACTCGTAGCATAAGCCCGACATTGTTATTAACTTGTACTAATAATTCTATGGATATTTATCTGAAATAAATTATTATTATATTAAAACCTGCCCCCTAAAGCTAGATGTTAAATTAAGTTTCAAGTTATTTATATTTTTAGGCATTTAACTGCTAGGTTTAAATCTAAAAAAAATTTTACTAGAAAACATTCCACGCGGTCTTGCAAGCAGACGAGGGCGGAGAGGTCCGCTTTATGTTAAATGGTGGGAACAAGTATATTATTATTATGGCCCGTCTGATGGTAAGCTGCCACCTTGCGATATTAAAAATATCAATCGCGCTGTTGCCTACCCTGATCCAGTCCCCTACACCGTGGAGTCCTGTTATAAATATTTCATCATCATCCTATTCATGTCCCCACTTCTGGGGCACAGGCCGTCCCTATGGATGGAATAGGGAGATTATGCCTTGAACCACCACGCGGGCCCAGTACGGATTGGCGGGTGCTAACGACTGCAGATGCAGCCGGGACCAACGGCTTAACGTGCCTTCCGAAGCACGGAGGAACTCGAGATAGAAGATTTTTGGTCACCCATCCAATGACTGACCAATATGATAGTTGCTTAATTTTAACGATCTCATCCGAACGCGCTTACAACCTGCGCCATCGAGCACCTCGAAATATTTATTTATATTTATTTACTCCAGCAGTCTCGGCTTGGCCAACGAGAGAGGGGAGACCCAGGAATCTAGGGCGCGGGGTCAGCAAGCCCAAGAAGAACACCGTCGCTTCTCTTCTGGCCCAGAGTCGGGCCCTAGGCCTGAGGCCGGCGTTGGCCCAACAGTTGTTAGGGGAGACTGATTTGGTGAGTGTTTGTACCAGTGCCAGTAGAATTACTAATACCAGTTCCAGTATCATTGTCCTAGCTCTAGTAAAAGTACTAATATTAGTTCCAATTAAACGTCACAGCGCCACTTAAAGTAACTAAGTAACAGTTATCGTAGAAGTACTTATAAGTATCAGTTCTTATATTAGAACCGATACCAATTTCAGTACCGTTGTGAAAGTTCTTTAAATATATTTTAAAGTTATAATATTTACTGCCCTTTAATGATTTAGTGTTTCCACATAAAAATATCTTTTTATTTAGTCCTTTTCCACGATGCAATAAAAATATGAGAAAACTTGATTTATGTAGCAAATAATATTCGCTTTATTTTGAACCCAAATTCAATTGTTTACCTGTTAAGCAAGTCCCGGATCTCGTTTATCCACTGACTAGGCCGTCAAATCATCTCTATACTATATAGCTTTATTGACCTGGGGCACAGGCCTTCCCTATGGATGGAATAGGGAGATGAGCCATGACTCACCACGCGGGCCCAGTGCGGATTGGCGGGTGCTTACGACTGCAGATGCAGCCGGGACCAATGGCTTAACGTGCCTTCCGAAGCACGGAGGAGCTATCTCAAGGATAGTACATTTTTGGTCACCCATCCAATGACCGACCAATGCGAAAGTTGCTTAACTTCAACGATCGCAGCCCAACGCGCTAACCTCTTGCGCCATCGAGCTCCTCACTACTTTAAGCTACTTAATAATTATGAGCTACTTTAATAATGATAAAAAACTGTTGTTTGTCGTATCCAGGAAAAGCTGAAGGCGTTACTAGGCGAGAGTGCCAGCACGGATTCCGAGTGCGTTTCCGACAGTTGTCCCTCGGATTCGGACGCGAGCGACACCAGTCGACGGTCCAACGACGCCCAGTTGCGACTACCGTTAGCTTTAGGTAATTAATATCAAATAATTTTTTGCATTCATGTAGTTACAGAGATGGTTAAATACATCTTATAAAGTACTTTATATGAACCCTGTCAGGGTATAGTAATAATTGGTGTTATTATGAAAAACATTTACAATAATCTAATATACAACTTAAATAAAATTTTCTTGAATTTACGTAATATAAGTATCTAGTATTGAAGTAAATAAATAAGTTTCCAACAATATAACTTTATTAATTTAAATAATAATTCTTTTGATATAGTTTTTCTGATTTTTATTTATATGTATAATAAACTATTTATAAATCTACAGGTTTTCAAACTAGATTGTGTCTTCTTTCTTAAGGTATATCTGGGGGCACTCCAACAATCTTATTTAATATAATATGTGAGATAAATTGTGTTTTCATGCGATTACCAAGTCAATTTATTTATTTGAAACAAACAAGATTTTTAATATTTAAATGGTCAGTATATATAAGATGTTATTAGGTGAGCTAATTTCGTAATAACTCAAGACAGAATGTTACTTAAGTAGAGGGTGAATAAATTAACCGACTTTGCATAACATGAATCTCACAGATTTTGACGGTAGAAGAAGAAGAACTGAGTTGCGAGTCTTGGTTTTTTTACATGTTATGTTTTTGATGGCATAAAAATCTATAATAATATAATACCAACTTGTGTTATTAAAGAAAGGAATCGAATCAAATGATGACGTAAGTCATTCTGTCCCTCACGCGCATGCTATTCTAAGTAACGTACGAGAGAAATCTTATTAATGCTTATATCAGAACTAAATATTCAAAATACTTTATTCCCCACGCAGGTTGGAAACGCGTGACTGTGATAAGGGGTCTCTCCCGAAACTGCAGTATTAAGGGGGACGTTAGCTACACTCCGCCCGAGCCCCATGCCACGCTGGCTATCAAAACTGCCCAAGAGCTGCATACGGTAAGTGTTTCACAATGATCATCATCATCATCAGCCCATGCTCGTCCACTGCTGGACATAGGTCTCCCCTAATGCTCGCCACTGCTCCCGATTTTCTGCCACTCTCATCCAGCCCACTCCAGCCAGTCTACGAAAGTCATCATCCCATCTTGTCTCAGGGCGTCCTACACTACGTTTACCGAGTCGTGGTCTCCACTCAAGAACTGTCCGGCTCCAACAGCCATCAGTTCTGCGGCTAATGTGACCAGCCCACTGCCACTTCAGTTTGCTAATTCGGTGGGCTGTCAATGACTTTGGTTCTCTGTCAGATTACATCGTTTCTGATGTGGTCCTTCAGGGATACTCCGAACTCTCTGAGCGACTAGCAATAGCCCTTTCCATAGCTCTCTGAGCGACTTTAAACTAATGGACTCGTCAGTCGTGAGTGTCCACGTCTCGGCGCCGTATGTAATAACTGTGAGGACGCACTGATCGAAGTCTTTCGACTTGAGACATTGAGGGATGGGTGACGAGAAGACTTGACGAAGCTTACGAAATGGTTCCCAGCCCAACTGAATTCTTCTATTGGCTTCTCTCTCGAAGTTGTTTCTGCCTAATCGGAGCGTTTGTCCTAGATAGACATATTCTTGAACAACCTCGAGAGGTACTCCATTAACAACAACCAGTCCCGGGTTAACGAGCTCGTTGAACTTGACCTTGGTTTTATCCAAGTTCATCCCGAGACCGATGCCTTTGGAAGATTCAGCCAGGCTGCTCACCATCTCCTGTAGGTCTTGCAGGGTTTCAGCCAGGATGACGATGTCGTCCGCGAGTCAAAAGTGTGAGTCATGTATAGTCACTTCACTTGGCTATTCGTGTTTGCTATTTGTAAACTTGACTTCAGTATGTCCTTTTCATTCGTTATAAACCATGTTAAGGACAGGCTGATGTCAACATTATAAATAGAATTTCGCTTGGCTATTCCGGTATGCTATTTGTAACTTGACATCATTATCATCAGCCTATTAATGTCCCCACTGCTGAGACACAGGTTTTCCCTATGAATGGAATAGGGAGATTGGGCCATGACCCACCACGCGGGTCCAGTGCGGATTGGCGGGTGCTAACGACTGCAGATGCAGCCGGGAACAACGGCTTAACGTGCCTTCCTAAGCACGGAGGAGCTCGAGATAATAAATTTTTGGTCACCCATCCAATGACCGACCACTGCGTAAGTTGCTTCACTTCAACGATCGCAGCCGAACACGCTAACCACTTGCGCCATCGAGCTCCTTTTCATTCCTTATAAAGCATGATAAGAACAGACTATTGTCAAGTTTACCAATAGCAAATACGAATAGCCAGGAGAAGTGCCTATACATAGTGCCCCAAAAAATACAATTGCAATTGTCTAGGTTAGGAAGCGTACCCATACTACGTGATTACGTCAAATACTACGCTTGGTTACAGTTGGGAGGGAGGTTTGGTTTTGATTTACCATCGCGTAGTTAATATTCTCTAGGATTTTTTTTCTTCTATGTTTGTTTTACTTGTAAATGCGTGGCACGGAGCAAGCGTCATGTTAATTAAATTTAAAAAAAAATTTTAAAAGTCATCTATGTATTACTACGTGAAGATAAAGAAGAGAAAGAGTGGTACTTTTTTGTTGATAATTTAAAAAAAGAGCCGTAATAAAGTCTATCTTTATTATACAACCTCCGTGGTCGAGTGGTTTGTACGCCGGGTTTCAAGGTGTCGCCTACTCGTGAGATGCCGGGTTCGAATCCCGGTGGGGGCAGATGTTTGTGTGATGAATACGAGCATTTGTACTCCAGTCTTGGATGTTTAATATGTATTTCTATATAAATATATTTGTATCAGTATATGTATTCTATTCGTTACCCTAGTATCCCATAACACAAGCCTTACAGTACTTACTTTGGGGCTAGGCTAATAGGTGTGAGTGTTGGAAATATTTATTTATTTTATAGTCCCGTCTGCCTGGTCCGCGTGGTTTTTTTTTCTAGTAAACTTTACTTTAGATTTAAACATCTAGCAGTTAAATGCTTAAAAATTAAAAACATAAATATTTATTTATTTATTATTATTATTATGTCCATTGTTTAGTTCCTGGAGTCGAACCCGTGTCCGCCGCTGTCGGGCGACAACTTCAGCTTCAGCGCGCGCGTGGTGCTCGGCGAGTACGTCCAACCCGCGGAGTTGGGGGAGCCACTGTTGTTCAACGAACAGGAGATCACTAAACGGTCAGTTAATATTTATTTATTGGCTTGGCTATTATTAAATGTGGCTAATAACGAAATGTTTTTACTCAGTTAGAGAATATTTAGAAACAAAAATTGACTTAGAATAGAATATATAAAATGACATAAGTACTGTAACGTCCGTTACGTTCGGTCATATAGTATGACAAAACAAAATTTTTTTAGCGGTGCCGGAGGGATGTAACGACCGTTACGTTACAACCTCCTTGTTTGGGTAAACTCTTTGTACATGTAATGCCTACGGCTGGTGGTGGTGGCATGATTTTTAAAGATTTGAAATTGGGAATCTTCTGTCGTTTGATAGAAGGTTCCAGCAGATGGACATCAGGCACCAAACCATACGTTGATAGGTTAAGCTCAATTATTATATTCGCCTGATTTCAAATATAAAAAATATAAAATCAAAGTTGTTTCAATTATTTTTACTACACTCCCAGGGCCTACCCCTTCAAGGTAGATCGCCGCAGTACCTATAAATTTTAGAATTAAATTAAGTTTGACATTCACATGCCCTGTCATTGGCAAAATGGAGGAACTAAATGAAAATCACCACCAAAATGTATCTATTCTGTGTGAATTTTTCATTTCATATTTATTTATTTTATTCTTCATGCACATACTGTAAAATGGCGGACTTAATGCCGTAGTCATTCTCTACCAGTCAACTATACGGTGTTGTGGAGATTTTAGTGGTAGGGTGCACAACTGGGGGCCAATCGCCTAACGGAAATGCTTTGGAAAACGCTAACGCTTACGATTTTATTTTGTTATTTCTAGCCGCCTGAGGTATTCAAATGCCTCGCGCTCTTTCTTTTTCTTTTGCATTGGTAATAACAATATTAAAAAAAATGAGCGTGAGGTATTCGAAAACCTCAGGCGGCTAGAAATAACAACATAAAATCGTAAGCGTTAGCGTTTCCCAAAGCATTTCCGTTAGGCGATTGGCCCACTGAGGTGGAGATCACATTTAAAGAAATATGAATAGTACTAATAATAAATATAATTATATAACAATAATATAGATTAGTAAATATACACAAATAATATAACTAAACATATACATACACATAATACATACATGACGACAAACTAATTACCGAAACGCCTGTTCCAGTAAAAAGCTTCGCAGCTCGGTTTTAAAGGAATGTTTGTTGGGGGATATTGTAATGTCCAGCGGGAGTTCGTTCTACCAAAGTATAGTTTTAACAAAGAAGGAAGAGTAATAATACTCATCTATATTCAAAATATCTATAGCTAGGGCACATAGCTTCCCCATGGATGGAATAGGGAGATTGGGCTATGACCCACCATGCAGACCCAGTGCGGATTGGTGGGTGCTAACGACTACAGATGCAGCCGGGATCAACAGCTTCACGTGCCTTCTGAAGCACGAAGGAGCTCAAGATAGAAAATTTTTGGTCACCGATCCAATGACCGACCACTGCGAAAGTTGCTTAACTTCACGATCGTAGGCTGATGATGATTCTCTTTTTAACAGTTTGGAAGAAGCTAGGGCCCTAGCTGCATTAACCGGCCCTCGGCCCACACCACCGCCAGTAGACAGACGTATAGAACTGGCAAGAAGACAGCAGGCCGCCAGAGATGCCAGGAGAGATGCCAGTGCCAGGTCCAGAGACCAGGTATGCTATAAATACATAAAGGTCGTCAGTGTATACAGGGTTAGTTTTAAAACCAACAACCTCTTAGGGGGTGATTCTACCCATCAACAGGAACAACTTTTATTATGGGTCCAACTTTGAAATCGGGGAAAAAATAGCTGTTTCATACATTTCGGCTGATTAGCTGATGCACTTTTGTATGAAACAGCCGATTTTTTTTGCGATTTCAGTGTTGGTCCCATAATAAAAGCTGTTCCCGTTGATGGGTAGAATCACCCCCTAAGAGGTTGTTGGTGTTTTAAAAATTAACCCTGTACAATCCATACATAAACTTCGTCACATGAGAAAAGGTCATCGGTGTCGATACTGGTTTGATTCTCTAAACCTAAATTTAAATTTGACAACAGTTTATCCTTGTCATTCTCTATGTAGAATGAAAGGGACCAACTGATGTTAAATTTAGTTTTAAGTTTAAAGAATCCCGCCACAATCTATACCATTGTCATATTAAATTTGACAGTTTAAAGCTAGTAGTTTGTTGGCGTTTTATTTTCAGTTTTGTACTTTTTGTTGAATAATTTCGCACACAATAATAACAAACAAACATACAATCATTTTTTTTTTAAATATTTTAAGTATCATCAATATCAAAGTAAACCGATTGCCTCAATTCTTATACCCTTATACTTTACACCCTTTAGTTGGGAATTTCAAAGATGTTTACAAAACTCAAATTGACTTCGAAGTACATAAATGTAAATATCTGTCAAATGAGTTGAAAGGTGTCGTGATAGGTGTTAAAATAAGACTTTTTATGCTCAAAATAAACCACTGTACGTGAATGTGAATGTAGCCAAACATCATTTTAAGATGTCAATTAAAATAGTAATAGTACAGTCCGCAGAACAGCGTTCGAATTTTACTTACCGTCTTTAGTTTCTTAGTAAGTTTGAACGTTTTTCGACAGGCCCGCCTAGTCAGAGAGTTTGAGAGGAACGAAAAGGCTGAATTCGTGAAGAGAGAGAAAGAGGCCAGAAGCCAACAGCTACTGGAGGTACATCCTATTTTGTGCATCGATCGGACTGTAATCTATATGTAGATTTGGGTTAAAATCCTATCATTATAATTTGTGTCTAAATTCTACTATATCAATATTCCCGTATCACAGTCTTTGAAAGTAGATAAGAAACTTTTTGGAATAAATAATATGTAGGTTTGGGTTAAAATCCTATCATAATAACTTGTCTATAAATTCTACTATACCAATATTCCCGTATCACAGTTTTTGAAAGTAGGTAAGAAACTTTTTGGAGCAAAGAATATGTAGGTTAGGGTTAAAATTCTATCATAATAACTTGTCTCTAAATTCTACTATATCAAAATTCCCATATCGCAGTCTTAGAAAGTAGGTAAGAAACTTTTAGAAACAAAGTATATGTAGGTTTGGGTTAAAATCCTATCATAATAACTGGTGTCTAAATTCTATATATCAATATTCCCATATCACAGTCTTTGAAAGTAGGTAAGAAACTTTTAGAAACAAAGAATAAATGTAGATTTGGGTTAAAATCCTATCATAATAAGTTGTGTCTAAATTCTACTATATGAATATTCCTGAATCACAGTCTTTGAAAGTAGATAAGAAACTTTTTGGAACAAAGAATATGTAGGTTTGGGTTAAAATCCTATCATAATATCTTTTCTCTAAATTCTAGTATATCAAAATTCCCGTATTCTCCCGTATCCCGGAAACTTTTTGGAACGTCAAAACGATGTCAATTTTATTTTCACAAAAGGGTTTTTTAATAATATTTTATAATGAGTAGAAAAACTAAATAAAAATTAAAACTAACACCATGCTATGACTTTATGGTACTAAATATGCATCAATAAAATAATGAGATAAAGGTATTTCTATATGGGCCAATATTATTTAGTTTAATAGTCTCTTCAGGTTCCCGGATTTCATCAGGATTTCATTTAGTAATTTGTTAGTAAAAGTTTTATAATCTATACATAACTAAATACAACACGTTGTATGGTTTTTAGTTATTATTTTCCCCACTAGATTTTCCTTAGTTACGAAGAAAAATATCACCATAAAATATTACGAAGAAAGTCAGCATTTGTTTGGTTTATTTCTTTCTTTTACAATTGATTTAATCATATATTTTTAAATTAAAACTGTAATATGGGAATACGTTTTTCATATATTTTATGTTTGTAAAATCATATTATGCTTGTGTTTGTTTTATATTTTTTTATTATCAATTTGACGCTTGGCAACATTGTGCTCACATCCGTAATATGAACAGTAGAGTATATTATTTCCTCTTTTAGTGCTCGTCAAAAGCGAAAAGGTCCTTTAGAAATGGGTATCGAAATTTGGTTACTTTTTGCTTTTACGTAGAGCATTGGAATAGTAGCTTTATAGTTTGTAGTTGTTGTGTGTATTAGTTGAACTATAGTATATTTTATATTTCTTCTTATACTTATATATGTATGTTAATGTAAACTTATACTTCATGGGTTACGTGATCTAACACAAAAATTAAAGAGAGGGGAACATTGATTGACAATGTTGTCAAAAATCCAATTGATAATAAATACCGAAAATGATACCAAAATAAAAACACACAAAGAGACTAACGATCATCGTAATCTGCAAACAGCATATCAACAAGAACCGAACGCAGCTCACCATCGAGCCGCTGCCGTCGATACCGAAATCTGGTACCGAAAACGAATGGAAAATACCAGACATAGTGATGGGGCCCGCTACAAAGAGTACCAAGGAGCGAATAATGCCTCCGATAAGTCTTTCACTGATACCAGTCACGGGCAAAGACCCGCAGAACTCGCCTATAAAAGCGATGAACTTCGAAACCACATGGAAAGCGGAAGAATACAACGCGCTCGACAAAATGAAAGATTTCGCCGAAAAAGCGGCATTCGATCTACCAAAAAAACCTAAAGACGTTTACTTTGATTTCTCGCTGATGAAGACGAGCGATAAGCGACTCAAAGGCACAGACAAAGAGAACAATTTAGAGAAACTAATAGAATCCTATTCTAGAATAACGGAGTTCATAAACGGTTGCGATTGGTCGAAAGTGCCAGCTGACAAAAAGACTGAAGACGCTAAAGCGATAGAACAAGAATACTTGGACGCAAAAAACGAATTCATGTCGCAAAATTTGTGTTTGATGCCTAATGACAGCAAAAAGTCTGTATTGAAAGAGGTGATCGATTTAAGCGAGGACGACGATCACTTGTTGAACGATATTATAAGTAAAAAGATAAGCAAAGGCACTTTCAATATCGGAAAAGACGGGGCCCTGTCAATATCGGTTCATCCTTTCGCCAGTAAGGATACATTAGGACTGGTACGTCAAGAATTCTAGATAGTACTAACATTTCAAAGTATCACGACACTAATGTAACTAACGCATCGGAAAAGCACCGATTCATTAACAGCACTAACTTTCTTAAACTATCTCTGGGTTGGTATCTCTTTAATACGTACTTATGAATAAGGCCATTGTAAAATAATGTGAAGCTTTAGAACTAAGGTTGAATACTGAAAGCAGTGCATTTTTAATTGTTCTCCGAATGAGCTACGTCGATAATGATAATTAAAAAAAAACGGGTTGCACTCCGGGAGTGCATTAACGTTGTGCATTTTTGATGTTTTGGAATGGTTAGGGAATACTTTTGCACGAATTGCTTTAATTATCAGTATAAAAGGTAGAATACAATATTTATTTATTGCGCAATCGTACTACTTACTACAGACTTATTATTATAATACGATAAAATAAAATATTACTGTTTCGTCCAATTTATTGAAATTCAAAACCTTTCCAATTTTATTGTTTTCGTCTTACGAATTTTGGATTATGCTACGTGTCCGTTCGCGATCAGGCCACGTGTAATGACGCGTTCAGGCCACGTGTCCTGACGCGAGTATCAATTTTAACCCATAACAAAAAAGTGTACAACGCCGCTTAAGACGTTTTCACTTCAAAAATCTTTTGAATTATATTATTGGTCCCTCGAGAGCAGATTGTTAATTTTTGTAAATAGGGTCGAACTGATGTCTCTGATATTTAAACTATCGGCTGGTTTGCTTACCACAAATGCAGACTTATGTCAATGCTACTAAAGTAGAATTTACTATGACGATCGATTGTGTTATCATATCTTTTTTCGAGTCAATTCTAGATTAAAAATAAATTGTGTCATTGTTGTGTTGATATAGGCCAAATATATCTGGTGGCAGAAAAAAAAACTCTTATGGCATGTTGAAATTATAGGTGGAGGGTCAAATAATACTTATTTTTTATACTACATTAATAAAATAATCAAGCTCTTAAATATGTGTACAAATTATTGCATGCTTTACTTTATATAATTTATGTTTTATTAAACTATAATAACTGATTTATTAGTTTGCTTTAAATCGTCACTAAATTATTTAAAGAACTATCAAAACCATAATTACTTTCAATGCAATACTTTCATGTTTTTTTATTATTTCTTACAAATGCTCATTTTGTTTCATGTTTGCTGTTTTGATTATGATTTGCTGTACCGCTTTCGTTGTTGTCGGATTGTGAATGAAGGCTAAGAGAAAAAAACAGGAAGAGATAGAGAAGCTGAAGATAGAGGAACAGGCTAAGAGGCAACAGGTTTGTCTATGGTTCTAGTGCTCCCTTCGGTCAACTTCCTCTTATTCTTATTCTTTTAGTTCTGAAGACGAAATGAGGCGAGAAACTGTACAGGCAGCTACAGTTGAATTGACCCTAAGCTAGCAAATTTCTCCAACTGACTTTGAGTTTTGTTGAGGTGAAAATAAGATTCGATTCATAATTTTTAACTGTTAGCATTATTAGAACATAACAGTATGATGATGAAAGAAGATTTAGTATTGTTGACGGAAACAATAGTAGGTACTTAAGAGACGAACTTCTTAGCAATCCATGGATTCACCTTGCGGGTGCCCGGTCCATCGTGTGTGTGAGAGAGAGAAACTCTGAGCAGTTCCAGACCCAGGTGTAGGTTTAAGGAGGCCCTTTGATATGCGCAACAAGAGGATTCGATCCGGGTAGATTTTTCTAATCCCGGGATTTAGGGATTATCTACAGTTAATCCCGCGATTGTATTGGTAATAGAAAATGATACACACTTTTACACATAATCCGGTACCGGTCCTTAGCAAAAATAAATGGAGTCAACTGTGTAAACAAGATGCCCTTCAAAACGTCATATGAAAGTAAGCGCGTTTCGTTTCGCGCACATTTTTATTTATTTATTAAAAATATATTTCAATCCCGAAAATCCCGGGATTCATTAAATTTAATCCTGAAAATTTCGGGACTAAAATATGACCGGGATCCTGGGCTCCGGGATCCCGGAATCGAATCTTCTAGCAACAACGCTCACTTTCACTGCTCGAGTTTCCCGCCCTTTCTAGCCAATATTATCACTCTCGCTACAACGTAGAAATCAATATAAGAACAAACTATGTATATATTACAGTTGATTGGTGTGTAAAGTAGTATTTATATTTAAACTTGGTTTTGAAAATAGTCGAGTTTAATTTAAATACTTGTTTCAGGAAAGGGAAATAAAGAGACAACAGGCTATGCTACTGAAAGAACAGGTATATTTATTATATTTCTTAATCAGTTGTTTTATTGCATTTGAACTTATCGAATTTTTTATTATGTTATTTTATTAAGATAAATAGCATACAGAAGTTTGAAACATTGTGTCTTAATAATCCAAATCATGGTATTTTAAATTTCTGTTTAAGTTCAAAAAATCTATTAAACAATGTCATATCATTTTGTTTTAAACTTTTATGGTCACTGACATTATAGCTATTAACGAGATCGTTTCCATGTTCATCATGGCGTTTGCAACAGAGTCGAAATATCACAGACCTATAAAAAACAAGAAACATGGTAACAAGCCCTTTAACAGCTATAATGTTATATATCATGTTATATAAGTTGTGGAGGAATAATCTTAGATCAAGCGGACATGTTATATTACCCAAATTTTATATAATCTGGATGCAACTTTATTGTTTGTTTATCAAATGCTTGCAATTTAAATAATTGTGTGGTATCAGTACATATCTTTGTGCAAAGTCGAATTTGAAATAGTATAATATTTTTGTGTTTAATGTCATGCTTTTGTGTTTAACAATTTTTCGTGATAAAACTTTTTCTATCCTATTCATTTGTACAGTCAAGTTTAATAGCACTACATAAAGTACACAAAGCGACGCGCTTTTAAATTACAAAGCAAATAATTTAAAATTACTATCAGAATAGCATACTTTCTAACAGTTTTATAACAACCTTGCCAAAAGTAGTGTCAAGTAGTGGACACTGACACAAAGGAATATCTCTGTTCTCTACCCTGCCAATTGACGTCTGATTATTTAATCTACAATAGCGACATATGAAACTAAGAAAATTCAGACGACACATCCTGAAAAGGATGCGAATCGTCAATGAATAAATTAATCAGTGCATTTATACTGTTGAAACTTGTTTTATTTAAATTAAGAAAATTCAAAAAACTTTAATAGATAATAGGGTATTTGACATTTTTAAAAATCAAGTGCCAATTGTTATCATCTGTATTAAGAATGAATATTGGTAAGGGTTTGTACTGTTTTTACAGGAAAGATATAATGTTAAAGACGAAATAGAACTTCATGAAAAAGTTTTTTTATTTATTGTCACATGACCGAAAACGCCTGGGATGGGCGAAGCCTAAAATGATGTCGCACACTAAAATTTCCGGTTAAAGTGACATTTCATTGTATCGTTTGACGTTTTAATGACAGTTGTGTGACGTCACATATCAATGAAACACCATATTATCCAGAGAAACGTTTTCGTGACAACTTGAAAATGGAGTTTTTGATTTAGTTATTTTTACTGATATACACAACAGATTGATGTATATCCTTATATACTTTTTATAGACTCCATAAACATTAGTAAATATAGAGAGGTCGTTTTCTTAAACTTGTCAAATACCCTATCAAGAAAAGGACAGTGATATTCCTTATTTTACACTGTGCCCCATGTTACACTGTCCCTCGCTTTACTCTACGTAAAGAGCTGAATTCGTGCTATACAATCAGAATTTAAAACATAATAATTGATTAATATTCTTGTTATTATCATGATCTTTGACTTGACTGTACATATGACATGATATTATAAAGATGCTATCCGACGGCCTGTATTGTCGCGGGCGCGGCCACACCACGCAGGGTTGCCAAACGTATGAGAACTATTTGAGATTTAGCAGGCTCTATACATGATACGAGGTGAATATACGTCTCGTTTACTTTGTGACGGCATAATGAAGCTGTACTCACTGAGTCGATCCTTCGGGGACTGGTCATTTATTTACTTTCTGATAATATTTTGGTGTGTGTACATGACGCAAACAGTCAACATTGTTCAAATCTCATATCAAAGTTTACGAGATTTCTATTTACCTCGTAGAGACTGCTAAATCTCAAACTTCAGAGTTCTCATACGTTTGTAACCCTACGCAGCGCGGCCGCGGCCGTGACAACACAGGTCGTCGGATAGTACCTTAAGGTTCGTCGTATTGAAAGTTACGTTATTCATTAAAGGTATTTTTACACAACTGCCCAAAAAAGAGTGTAATATTTTTTATATCGATTTATTCAGATGGTTAAACTTTTCATTTGCTGCAAGCAAATATTGTCCTTAAAGCATATTGAACCTTCTCATACAATGGCCGTATAAAAAGTATGTGTTGTGACAAGAGATCGGATAATCGGATGCATATTTACTTAAAGTTATTTTTTGGATAACAAATTACGAAAGTGGCTTTCTAGGATATTATTATTAAAAATAATGTTCCGAGATTCCGAGATTGAATAACTAATCGGATTTATATTTACTTAAAGTTTCATTTTAATTTCCCATTTGAGTATGTATTTAAATAAGGAGTAAGAGATGGTGGTGTGATTAATAAAAAAACATAAATGAAAATAAATTAATTAATTAATTTCATCTTACACTATTTATTATTAGTTTAGTAGTAATTTATGTCAATCTGAGTTCTCACGGAGTATACACTTAAATTTTAATTTCCCAGAATCTTTTATTTTTTTGATAAAGATGTGTATTCCATAATAGCAAACATCTGAACTTTAGGCAAATATGCATCCGATTATATTATCTGTACCCTTAGCACGGACCAAAATCGAATTCGAATAATTTGCGAGTTTGTCATTTTCAAATGTGTACTGATTTTTAAGTTCTCGTTACGTCCGTTGTGCCGCTGATGTTCAAGTTTTCATACAAAATTTGACAATGACATTTCGGACTCGCATACTATTCGAATTCGATATTGGTTCGTACTAGAGGTACTGATCTTTAGTTGTGACTGACTACATTCGTGTGTGTTTTCTTTTTCATCCCTCATTGGATACGCGTCACACACTCAGCAAAAATATATCACCGAGGTAAACATATAATACGAAATATCTAAAATTACTAACAGGTGTTGGAACGTAGTTTAGTGATGGTTGCAATTTCGGTTAATAGTAGTTTTTGCATGTTTTTTTAGAGAAAAGAATAAGTTAAAAAACGTCTATGAATGGCGTTTTGGAAATCATGCCTTTTACTTATATTTATGCATATAGTTTTGCAGCATATATATACTCTTTTGCGGGATCGGCACAGTACAAATACTTAAGCTAAATTTTCACATTTCATATGACAAAAAGTACGATTATTGGTTGTAATAGTAGGTATGATAACACTTATTAAAATTTGTTTATATCGCATTGCTGACATGGTTGTATAGGCGTGAAGTTGGTGCTGTGATTATCATATGTATATCCTATGATTATGGAAAATGACTTAATAGGTTATCTCATATAAAATTCATTTTTCAATTTGACGACTCTGTATATAATACAGGGGGAAAAAACAGCCCTTGCTGAGTTTTTTGCCGGTTCTTCTCAGTACAAGGTCTCACGTTTTAGATTTGCGAACCGATGCCGTAGCTTTTAGACATTCACATGTATGTGCTTGTCTGCCTGAATAAATAATATTGTTTTTTATCAACAACTCATGAAACCTATTTTATATCCAACATTGATTATTAATAAAATAAATAAATTTAAAATTAACTTTTTTCCGATTGCTTTTTACATTATCATCCAAAAGATGTCCTGAACCGGTAGTAGGAAAATATATCTGACCATTCAAAAATAACTAAAGTATATTTCATATAATTAAATTAATAAATTAATTTATTTGGCAACATAAAATTGAAATTTCATTCGGTTAAAAGTATCTGAAAGCCTGTTATAATATAACTAGATTTGTCTAAATACTAGGTTCTCAAATGAAGGTTTACTAAATACTAGGTTCTCAAATGAAGGTTTCATATTATTTCTCTCCTTGGCACAGGAACGCGAAAGAAGACGGCAACACACAACGTTTATTCGTCAATTAGATTCTAGGAAGAGATGGGAGGAGAGGGAACGGAGAAAACACCAGAACCTTCTAGACAGACTCCTAGTGAAAGAGAAGAAGCTGCAGCAGAGACGAAAAGAGATGGAACTACTTGCCGAATTAAGGTAACAACAAAATAATGCTTGTAAACGTCAGATTACTCAAATGAGTGTCAAAATACAATTCACTTGTTTTCTATTAACGAATGCCTGTCTGGATACTGCAGCAATATAGCACTACTAACTTCTACCTGAGACTTCGCCCGCGGTTAATTTTGTTTTACGATATTCCTATTGAATCTTATATTTTTTCGAGATAAAAATAATGCTAATCATTCTGATATACTGCATGCCTACCTCAATTGAGCGAAATGTTTTTGTGGCTGATTTGATTGATTAATTAACATCCAGATAGCAACTTTTCCATTATATAATGGTTTCGATCCAGGCATGATTGTCTAAACTTAAATTTAAATTTGACAAACAGTGTGCCCTTGTCATTCTCTATACAAAATGAGAAGCATAGGCTGATGTTATATTTCGTTTTTAAGTATACTAACTGTGCCACGCTGTATTACCCGCGGTTTATTAGGGATATTTTCCCGCAATGAAACGTAGCCTGTGTTAATCCAGGGTATCAGCTAACTCCATAACAAATTTTATTAAAATCGCTCCAGCCGTTTAGACATGAAGAAGTAACAAACATACACACTCGCACACTCACAAACTTTCGTCTTTATAATATGACTGATAATCATGCCAGAAACGACACTAATATCAAGTAACATTTTAGGTCTGCAAGATTCAGATGGCAAAAGGCTTAAGCTATTACAAGGACTTCAGTGCTTTGTTTGTCTTGTTCTATTTATGAATTGTATTATGTATTTATTTATTTAATTTATTGTCTACAGACGGCCGCAAGAAGACTCATCTCTATCGGATCAGAAACCACTTCCAACTCTTAACAGGATTCCAGGTTTAAAACTACCGGGGCAAGCATTCGCTGATATTTTACAAGTGTATGAGTTTATACACAATTTTGGTCAGACACTTGGATTCGGTAAGCACGAGTTAAAAATAGATTAACAAATGTGCAGTAGAATTTAGACAGTGGTCCTTCGAGCAGATTTAAACGTGATTTTCAGTGTTACCAGTTATTAAAAAATGCAATTTTTCATTGTAATTCTTAGTGTACTTTTAATAATGAATTACTTTATGTTACACTTTGTAATATTTTCTTCTTTATGTCGTCTAAGTGACGTAAATTGAGAAAAATATTTTATTAATCTAGAATTTTAAAAATAACGAGTTATGTAGGTATGTTGGAACATTTTAATTTTAAATTATTAAAATTATGATGATTCAGACATGGACAACATTCCTTCGCTGAACACTTTCCAAATGGCTTTACTGCCCGACTGCTGTTCAGATGCCGAAGACGAACTGATACAAGTATTGACGCAGCTACTTGTATGCGCTATCGGTGAGTAAATATACCTTAAACTCCTGTACCTTTAGCATGAACCATTATCGAATTGGAATAGTTTGCGAGTGCGAAATTTCATTGGCAAATTTTGTATGGAAACTTGAACAGCACCGCCACAAAGTACGTAACGAGAACTGAAAATCAGTACACATTTGACAATGACATTTCGGACTCGCAAACGTTACGAATTCGATATTGGTTCGTGCTAAAGGTACTGACCATAGATAAGTACGCTAAAATCCATAGAGATATAGATAAGTAACGGGTGACCACATCTTCGTCTGCCTTACAAATATCCACCCCTAATTTTACCCCCATAAAGGATGATTTCTGGAATAAAATCTATCATATGTCCTTTCCCGGGACTGAAACAAATCTGTATATCAAATTTCGTTTAAATCAATTCAGTGGTTTATGGGAGAAGAGGTGACAGACAGACACACTTTCGCATTTATAATATTAGTATGGATGGCTTGAGCGTTCTCAATCCATTTTCTTAAGTTATAAGTGATCCTGCGAACAATAGTTCGTATAACTAATTTCTGCACAATAGCTTTTTCTCTTTCTAGAGAGTTTTCAATTTTAAACAAGTATCTTTGTTTATGCTAAAAGCTAAACATGTAGGTTCGCAACAATCTGATACTTGAAGCAAATATTACAAAAAAAAAAATGTTTAAAATGTAATTATTTAATTTTAAATTCTATGTTATTTAGGAAAAAATAATTCTTATGGTCAAACCATTTGCATGGTTATCATAAAATACGTCATGTGTTTTTTTTTCTAATTTCACTAGTTTGATTCCCAGTTGTAGCAGGCGATTGAAAAAAAAATCTGTGAATGCATTTCTACTTATTATTAAAAATAAAATAATGTCTTCTTTCAGTAAAGTATCCTATCTTCAATATTTAATATTCTTTCCCTCCGTGTGATAAACCCTTGGGACACCCTGTATATTTATGTATTAAATTTTCGTTCGCAGAGGACCCGGGTATACCTCACCCGGGTCGGCATACGACGTTACTCGGCCACGCTATCCGGATGGGTGATATCACACCCGCTAACTTAAGCGAAGTATTACGGATATACTTGTATGCCAATGCTACGGGCGAAGTGAAGTCGCTTACTGGTAAGTCGAGACTATCTATATATTTATATAAAAACTTGCGCCTAGAAAAATGGATTTTCCATACAAACTTTCATCTTCAATTTCACCTCTTTTAATTTATATTTTTGCTAGAAGAATTGCCTATTTACCGCCACCAGTGTCCTATTTGTACCAAAATTCATATTCTGAAATGTCAAAAATATTTTGACTTAAGTTTCAACACTATATTTATTTGGACATTTCGACCTTACTGCAATGCAAATGTTCAAGTATAATTTCAATGAAATGTATCTCTTATAGCACCTGACTGTACACCAGTTTTCTACGTGTCACCTCCTTAGAAGTCCTAGGTTCGAACCGGTGGGGCAAATGTTTGTGTGATAATTATGAGCATTTGTATAAAGTCATGACTGTTTATATATTTCTACAAAATATACTTGTATACTTATATGTGTTTCTATCCATAATCCTAGTGTCCTATAACACAAACCTAACAGTACCGACATTGCGGCTAGGCTATTTAGTGTGAGTGTTGGCAGTATATATTTACTAGTGGATGTCAGCGGTTTCGTCTGCATGGAAAAATGGGTTTTCCATACAAACTCCCAACCTCTTTTCACGCCCTTATAAGATGATTTCTGGGATAAAAACTATCATATGTCATTCCTCGGAAACATCTAATTCGGTTCAGTGGTTTCAGTGTGAAGGGGTAAGGGGCCATCCATAAAATACGTCACACGTTAAGGGGGAGCGAGGGGGTCGACGAAGTGTGACAACGGGTGGGAGGGGTCATAAGTTTCGTGACGTCACATCAAAAATCTACTTTGAACTATTATCAAAATTCTTTAAAATATGTAGATCTCTATCTGTATGGGGTTACATTTGTTTTTTTATCTCTAATTTTCGGAACTTATTTCGGAACTGCTGCATTAGTAATAATTTCTAAATTCGAAATTGAAAATATGTGACGTCACAATATCCCTATTGTAGGGACAATGGTGACCAACTGCGATAAGGACGGACGGACGAAGAATCAAGTAATTAGTGTGACGTACTTTATGGATGACCCCTAACAGACAGTCACACTTTCGCATTTATAATATTAGTGTGGACATACTTATTTATTTATATCCTTCTATATTCTAAGGTTTAACAGCGGAGCGTGAGAGAGAACGTCGCGTAGCCGATCACCATCAGACGGAAGCGGAAATGCAACACACTTGTGCCAGCACTAAGAACGCGACCTATTACGAACACTTACATGGGAATAGCACGTATAAACTTTCAGGTGAATCACTATTATATTATTGATGTGTAACATCTTTCCTCTCGCTTTCCTGCAATTTGTGGGAGTGATTTCGTGAAATGGGACGGAAGTGTGTAACAGGAAGTCGCAAAAGCGCGCTATTTGATTTGATTTTAGAACATAATGTTCAAATGACTTATTCCTTTTGTGGTAGGTTTTATTTCATTTTTTAATAATGTAAGGTGAAGTGTCAAATGTTTTTTATTGCATCATATAGTTCAAAATATAAAAACCAAATACATAGTTAGCAAAGGTGGGCTTATCTCTAAAAGAGATCTCTCCCAGCCAACCTAGGTGGTGTCGGAGATTCAAAATTTAGCGGGAAACAGAAAGTGCAATAAAAATTAAACTAAAAATCATTTATAATTTTTATTTTTTAAGCATGTAACTGCTTGATGTTTAGATCTAAAGAAAATATAACTAGAAAAAAAAATCACGCGTGGGTGGGTATGTGGGTTACCTACAATGCGAAGAGATGGCGCTGCCTTGCAGCTTAAGAATGGCTAGAAGAATTTCGACGCGGCCATCAGGGCCGCGGTAGCATAATTGGTCAGTGCATTCGCCCGGTTAGCGAAGGGTGCGGGTTTGAGTCGCATCTGCTGCCTGGTCCCCGTGTATTTTTTTCTAGTTATATTTTCTTTATATTTGAATATAATTTATTACTGCTGTTATAAGAAACAGACTTAATAAATAATAGTTATATCATTCTTCATAATATACTTGCCACCGCTTGCGACGTCGTTCGTTTTTAAGAATCCCACAGGAACCTAACATTTTTCGCTTTAAAAAGTATCCTATGTCACAATCCAGGTCATAAACTATATGCGTATCAAATTACATCCGAACCCGTTCAGTACTTTGTGTAACGAACATACGTTAACTTTTACATTTATAATGTTAAACTAATTAAACAGGTATATCAGGCCTTATGCCAATCAGTAATTCAATATTGTATAACTTCATGGGGTGGAGCTCTCAAAACTATTTTAATCCCTCTCGAGCGAGCTCAGAGAGCCATTTTAAAAGTAGCCAATTCACTTCCCTTCTTATATCCTACGCATCAACTTTACAAATACTGTAATGTGTTAACTGTTCGCCAGCTTTTCATTATGCACACCATATTAAAACAACACACCATTTCACCTTTTTGCTCTGATATCACTAACAAAAGACGGAAAGATATAGTCTGCATCTCTACACATGATTCAAAATACATCTTTTCACATAGATTCTCTACTTTCCTAAGTCCTTTCTTATATAATAAGTTAAATAGAGTGTTAGGTATTAATACATTAAACTATTTTAACTGTAGAACTGTAGTATTTAATTATTTGCACAGCCTGACATATGAGCAGACCGAAGAATTACTTCTTATTTGTAAATAAATGAATGTAACTCCATAATTTACATTTACCAACATTTATACAATGATTACTTTAAGTTCTGTTTTAATTAATTTGTTAATTTATTAATCATTCAATATATTATTTAGATCATAAAAGCCTGAAATACAGATACAATTTTAACTGTAACCTAGTTCAGGCATCCATTATTTTGTACTTTATATTGTTATTAGTATTATTATGCAATGTATGACCTTATTTGAATAAAGATATATTTATTTAAAAAAAAATGTTGGTAGGATAGCAGCCTGCCTTGGACTTTAAGGGATATTTTAACACATTAAATTGTAATCTATGCTTCTCGGAAATAATATAGGTTTTTACCAGAGAAACAATTTTCAATATTTGATCGGTTCAGTGGTTTGAGATATAAATTTCTATTAACAAACAGACTATATCTTCTAAGCATCCGTATTGAATACAGTATAATTTCATTTCACTGAAATTCATAAAATTTTAATATTTTAGCCACAATGAGGGTTTTGGACGGGACTACCTTTTTCTGTCTCACCAGATGGTACCACTATTGAGTGAGGTCCTGAATTGTAATTTTTAAAATTTATTAATACGCGCGTAAAATCAAAATTTACATTTAAATCATTTAATACAAAATAATCGTTTCCTAAACGTAATCGGGCATGCCACAGTGATGCGCAGTTCCGTTTTGTTCAGAAAAAAAAGTAGGACATAATATTTTTTTTTAGCCCCGCTTTTAAATAACAGACTTTCATTGCCACGTAACTCTATTTACCATAATTAAGCCGAGTTATTACCAAATATTCACAAAATTATTTTAATTAGAAATAAACCCGCTAAGTCAACTCACAAGCACTAACGTTTGACATTTCGTAGACCTCACGCTACACTAGCGCCTCTAGCGGCAAATAGCCCTCACTACATTAACGACATCGTTCCCTTCAACAGAGGCGTTACGAGACAAACCGTTCCTAGCGTTGAACGCTACGACGAAGGCGAAGATACTAGCGTTCCTGTGCGACGAACTGTTGCAGAACAAATCGGTCCTACGGCAGATCGACGGCTCGCTGGAACACTTGAACCAGGTCAAGAAGGAGCGGTACCTACTCGACATGAAGATTAGAAAGTAAGTCATTATGCAACCTACTACAACTTTTGAAAGAACTTGACTTTCCCACCATTTTATTATATGTATAGATAGGCATAGGGAGTGAAAAGGAGAGACTGTTGTCAAGTTCACAAATAGCAAATACGAATATCCCTGTGAAATGGCGGAATCTGATCTTGATATTTATTGAAACAAGAAACCAAGTCTGTCTGACATTGGTCTAGCTTTGATATGTGTAGAGACACCTTTGAGTATCCATTAAACTATTCAAAGGAAGACACAGTTTTAGCAAACTTTTTACACTTGTCAAACCAAAAAAGAAGGTTTTGAATGATACTTTTAGGAATTTTTTATCTGGATTAGACATAGAAACAACGAAACTTTCAATTTAAAAAGAACTTGTGATTTATTTCTATATTTGCTATTTGTCATTTTTGACTGCAGATTGTTTTTATCAGTTATATATAGAGCCCTTCTCTATAGGGATAGGGTGTGTGTATCCATTAAACTTTTCAAAGGAAGACAGAGTTTAAGCAAACATTTCACACTTGTCGAAATTATGATTTTCTTTTTTAATGACACTTATAGGAAGTTTTCATCTTGATAAGACATAGAAATAACGAAAGTTTCAATTTAAAGTAACTGACATTTATTTCTATATCAATACCTACGCAAATTCCCAGAGTGAAGTTTTCATCTAGATTAGACATAGAAATAACGAATGTTTCAATTTAAAAAGAACAGAGATTTGTTTCTATATCAATACCTACACAAATTCCCAGAGTTCGAGTACTCCACCAACGTAAACTTCGCACTGAACAAGCGGAGAAGCAGCAAGCTCTAGCTTTAGAGAGGATGCAGAGGCTCGTAGAAGAGAGTACGGCCAACCTCTGCGGCGGTCGGATGTCGCCGCAGCCGCAAGATGAAGGTATAAATGTCATCATCACACACAGCGAAAAACTAATATTAATTTATTTATACAAGTAAAGATACTTCAATAAATATTGGCTCTTGATTATAATCATTATTTTCGTTTGAAGTCTATGTAACTTATTTCACACACAAATTTTATTTATAGAACAACCATCAGACAAAGAAACTCCCAAGAAAGAAACCACCCCGGAAGTCGACGACAAACCAAAATCACCTTACAAAGAGCCCATGTTAGAAGACAGCGACAAAGAACTTTCGCCCTTAAAGGATCTCTCTAACATGAGCAAAAGCAAAGAAGCGCTGAATAACAATAAGGAGGAATGTTCCCCGGCAGACAATTCTAAGTTGGATAAAGACAGTGTGATGGGCGATTGCGATGCGAATCTTAGTGATTTGGAGAGTGAAGGCACGCAACCTGAAGAGGTAAGTGCATTAAAATAGATAATAGCGTATTTCAGTTAAAATTTGGATATCTTTGTGTTTCAGACTATTGCTACAACTATGGTACAGTTTTCGTTTGATATCACATTTCTTTAAAGTAAACCTTTACATCGAGCATAGTTTTTCGTTAATCTTTAATAAGTCACATTTTTTGTTATTATAAAAAAAAACAGACCTTATCAACAAGCATTGGAGGTCCAGTGGTAGAATGCTCGCCTGCTACGCGGGCAGCCTGGGTTCGATTCCCTACAGAGAAATATTTTTTTTTTATTAATGACAAACAACCAAATCTTTCCATTTTATAATATTAGTATAGATATAAAAAATTAACTTGCATCGTGGTTTCATAAAACCCTACGATTTTCTAGTGATATACTTTTTTAATAAAAAACAGTTTAGGCTTTTACAAGCACATAATATGAATGTTTTACAGCCGAATTTAGTAACACCAGTTAATAAAATGCTTCATTAAATCACGTATTGTTCCATTCTATTGTTATCGAAAAGAGAACATCAACTTTAGGTCTTAAACCCCCTTATTATTACACGAAGACTACGCTTGGATTAGTTACTCTATGTTTTGTCTCTGTCTATTGAATGACGTTTGAGTGACATGAACAAAACACGGCGTAACTAGTCTAAGCTTATTCCTTGTTTATTAATAAAGGGGTAAAAGTTTATTGACTTCTGAGTGCGGCTTTAAGAAGTTAAGCGAAAGTAGATAAGGAAAATATAATCCTAATCAAATATACGAGTAGAACTCCTTATTTATTTGTTAAAAATGTCCAAATTTTATATCTTATCTACCAGGATGAAGACAAGAACTTGTCGTCGGAGGAGCTTTCCAGGAAACTAGACAAACTGATGAGGCAATCGGAACAGCAGTTGCAACAGTTAGTCGCCGGCTCTCACGCTTTGAGGGCTACTTGTTATGGACAAGACAGGTACAAATTACTAAAATCAAATTAGAAAAAAAAAACTTTTATCCGAATTGTATATGTAGTAATATATCACGTATATATCCGTGGTCCGAGGATACTGTACATTGAATAATGTTTCATGTATTAGTACAAAAAAGTTTTTCGCATTTCATTCATTATTTTTATGTCACTTAAACTTTTTGTCTACATCTCAGCGTTATTATTGTAGTCTTTAATTTTCTATAATAAAATTAAATGACACTTACACCAGTATTTATAAATATTAAAAAAAAATTGTAAGTACTAAAAAATACACGGCCGAGGGGAGGATTTAGTCTTAAACCTTACCACGTATCACCAAGGGGGAGGAGGGGGTGAAAAAATGCAAAAAAAAACATCACGTGATTAATGGACGGCCCCTAAGTTGTTATTATTATACGACAGATATTGGCGTCGCTATTGGTCTCTGGGTAAATGCGGTGGCATATTCGTGGAAGGCATGGAATCCGCTCAACCCGAGATCATGGCCTACCACCAGGGGTTAGAAAACGCAGCTCAAAACCAACCATCCGACAGTTGCAGGACGAAGAAAGGTAAGATTACATACATAGTGTATACGTCAGTTGTGCATACATAGTAATATAAATTTACGTAACTAATTATAAGAGCAATAAATAACAAATCTATGTATATATATAAAAATCAATTGCTGTTCGTTAGTCTCGCTAAAACTCGAGAACGGCTGAACGGATTTATTTTATATTGGTCTTAAAATATTCGTGGAGGTCTAGGAAAGGTTAAAAAGGTGAGAGAAATAATTATAATAAGAATTCATTGTGTATAATACAAGCCTGAGAACAAAAACTATAGTCTACCTACACTTCAGCTCTACACCAAAGCGAAGCGAGGGCGGGCCACTAGTAAGAAATAAAATAAACTAGGAAATTGTTGTTCATATGTATGAAAATAGATGGCGTTGTAGTTCTTTGCGTCACGCTGATAAATTTGTTTTGAACTACATTAGGCAAAACGTCACCAAACTAATAAAGAAATCTATGGTCAAACAAATTCCACCTTGGTTTCATTTATATTCTTAGACCTACCACCTACCTACCACCTAAACTCTCGGATTTAAGAGTCATTTTGGCTCGAACACATAGATCGGAATAGATAACGGAACTTTGTGGCTAAAAACAAGCTAAAGGTAGGAGAAAGCTCTTTCTTTAACGCTTTTGGTCTCTGGGCAAAAGCGAAGACATTCGAAAAACCAGGTAGGTAAATACATTATAGCTATTACGAGATTGTTACCATGTACCTTGTTTTTTATGAGTCTCCGATATTTCGGCACTGTTGCAAGCGCCATGATCACGGAGTAACTGGTAACAATCCCATTAATAGCTATAATGTTAGTGACCATGAAAGTTTAAAACAATATAAGGTAAATATATGTCTTTAATGAGCTGACCATTCTTTTCCCAGACAAACTAAAATATTAGATTTCTTTTACAAAAGTGCAATAAATGTAATATTTTTAGATTAATACATTACTTTTATTTCATAAGAAATATCCCCAACAAATTCTCTGTACTATAATCCGAACGGGGGGTAAATTTTCGGAGTTCGGATTAAAGAGATCCTGCTATAATTATTTATTCATTAATAAAAATAACAAAAGCTAAAGTTATATATAATATATGCAGGTGCCAAAGACAAGAAAGACCCGAGCGGGAAAGAGTCCGAAGAACGCCCAGATTCCGACAAAGCCCTCAAAGAGGAGGCCCTCAAGACTGAAATGGAACTGAAGAGCATAAAATCAGAGTTGAATCTGAGCGACCACACGCAGATCATCAAGTACGAGCCGAATGTCAAACATGGTGCTTGTAAAGTTGAAGGTGAGTAATGTTTCATCATCAGGCTATAATGTCCCCACTGCTGGTTTCAAACAATTTTTAGTTTGAAACAATTTCCAGTTTCAAACAATTTCTTGTTTGAAACAATTTCTAGTTTCGATAATTATAGAATCTTAGATGTCATAATCTTCAATGGTCTTTCTATTGTCTTACGGCCAGTTGCAATTATTATCATCAGCCGATTAATGTCTCCATTGCTGGGGCACAGGCCTTTCTTACGGATGGAGTAGGTAGTCAGGGCTGTGACTCACCACGCGGGCCCAGTGCGGATTGGTGGGTGCCTACGACTGCAGATGCAGCCGGGACCAACGGTTTAACGTACTTTCCGAAGCACGAAGGATTTCGAGATATTAATATTTTGGTCACCCATCCAATGATCGACCTTTGCAATCACTTTTGCATTTATAATATTGGTAAGTATGCAATTATATTATTTCGCCATATTAACAATCAACATATCCACAGGTTCATCGATAAAAATGGAGGAGAAGTACATCCAACAGAAGCAGCATAATGAAGAACAGGACATGCTCGACATAGAAGACTCGATACCCACAGCTTTTCTAGTACAGAAGCCTTCGCACAAACCGATGTACGCTTCACAAGCGGAACCAATGGATAAACCCCAGGAGATAGTGAAAATAGAAAACGTAGTAAAGAAAGAGGAAAAGGAAGAACCGGAAGAGAGCAAAGACGAATTAGTGAACAATCTAGAAGAGTTGAGAAAGCTTGCAGAAGCGGTATCCTCACAGTTGGATGCCGCTAAAAAGGCAGAGGCAGAAGAAAAAGAAGTTAAAGAAGTGAAGAAAGAAGTAATGGAGCCTGAAGCTGCTCACAACCATCTTTACACAAAAATCGTAGAAGGCAAATGGTTCTCTATTTTGAGGCATGAGAGTGCATTTTTGAATAACATCAACGAAGTCACAGTTAAAAGTGAAGTGCCAGTGTATTGTGATAACGAACACACTTGTGCCGAAGTGATATTGTGCCAAGGACATAAGTGGGACGTTTCAAATAATTTGCATCTTTTAAACGACCCGAGTTTATTCACTCTGAACTCTATGGTGACTAGTGTGCAAGTGCCGTCTAATAGTGTTTACACGGACTCTAGCTTGACTATGTCAGGTTTGGATCAGGAAATGATGGACGCTAGTCTAAATAGAGATTGCAAAGAGCATACGGGTGTTGAAGATGAACTTAAAGAGCAGGTATGTGTATTTTTTTTAAATATTTTACGCAAAAATATATCTTAACTACTCAGGAATAAAGTGTCTTTCTAATGGTAAAAGAATTCTCCAAATTAGTTCAGTAGTTCCAGGGATTAAAACAATACTTCATCTCTTTATAATATAGATAATTAGTAACTTATTTTCTTTGTCTATCAGGTAAATTACTTAAAAGTATTGGACACGTATTTTATCTTTATTCACATAATCAAAACATTACAGAGATATTATAAAGATTCGAAATGTCTTATCGCATTACATCACGACTCAATACAGTTTTTATTTAGAAATGACGTCACGAGCCTCTCCTCGCAAACTTAGATGCGCTTTATCTTCGTAATTTTTTGGTTGATTGACAAAAGAAAAAATAACTGACCATTATTTTTTGATGAATCTAATCGACAGACTAAATGAAATTTCATTTACTTTACCCTGTCTTCATCCCTGTTAGTCTAATAGCGGCACTTTACTTTGCGATTTGTAAACTTGACGACAGTCTGTCCTTATCATGCTTTATAAGGAACGAAAAGGACAGACTGAGGACAACTTCACAAATAGCAAAGACAAATAGCCAAGTACTGACATAACCAAATACATTTGTATGTAAAGTTAGCAACAAGTCACTCAATCCTCACTTAGCAACTGGCTCTACAGTGGCTTCCAATCATCATCAGCCTATTAATGACCCCACTGCTGGGGCACAGGTCTTCCCTATAATTGGAATAGGGAGATTGGGCCATGACCCACCACGCGGGCCTAGTGCGGATTGGTGGGTGCTAACGACTGTAGATGCAGCCGGGATCAACGGTTTAACGTGCCTTCCGAAGCACGGAGGAGCTCGAGATAGTAAATTTTCGGTCACCCATCCAATGGCCGACCACTGCGAAAGTTGCTTAACTTCAACGATCGCAGCCGAACGCGCTAACCACTTGCGCCGTCGAGCTCTTCAACTGCTTCCAAACCTATAATTTTTCTTATTTTAGGACAACGATCTAGAAAAGGAATTGCAAGCGGACGCGCTCAAACACGATTTAGCCACGCAAAAGGCCAAAGCCAACAGTCTAAACAGCCTCGGCTTGTTAAACTTCAATGCTTTATCAACATACGTGACTTGCGACAGTCCACCGCCCATACAGATGTCTCCGGACGAAGTGAAACAGTTGGATCATTGCAAACAACATGGGCTGCCGAAGAGAATCGGAGGCACTTTTGTACCCAAAGAACTGAGGTGGGTTTAAAAACTTGCAAACATTTTATTACCTTCCGTTCCCTGAGACAAGTTACGTATCTTGTAGTAATATTTTATATCATTGAACTGCGTGATTTTGAAACACATAGTATACAGGGTGAATTTTAAAACACCAACAACCTCTTAGGGGGTCATTCTACCCATCAACAGCAACAACTTTTATTATGAAATCGCGAAAAAAAATCTGCTGTTTCATACAAAAGTGCATCAGCTAATCGACAGAAATGTATGAAACAGCTGTTTTTTTTTTCGCGATTTCAGAGTTGGTCCCATAATAAAAGTAGGGGTTTTTTGGGTTCGAATCCCGGTGGGGGCAGATGTTTGCGTGATGAAAACGAGCAGTTGTACTCCAGTCATGGATTTTTATTATGTATTTCTGTATATATATGGGTAGTTCTACAAAGTAAGGAATTTTCGACGGCTCAGCTAAAATGTCATGAAAAAATTGTTACAACCAAGTTTATTTTCATAACATATTGTTTACCATACCTATATCTACCTAGTCTCTAAAAATAATTTAGATACTAATATATTATCTTAGGAAAAAAAATACTCAAAGCGTCAAATTCCCAGGATCCTGGAGTGTCCCACGAGCAAAATTGAATCTAATGTGCAATATTATTTATTTTCTAAGTACATTGAGCCCATAAGTTTAACCAATATTAATGATAGCTTATTATTATTGTTACCTAGGTGACATATTATTAATTTATTGTAACAAAAACATTATAAAAACTTTGTCCAGAAGTTGTCCCAACGGTTTCATATCAGGATCCTGCCCAATGTTAAATAAGCGAATATTCAATATTCTATTAGCCGCGCGACCTTGACGTTTAGCCGAGTTTGTTGCCGGTACGAAAGAGACAAAGAATACCACCTATTGTTTTGCACCCAGTGTGTTGCTTAGTCTGCCCGGCACATTTGATGGACGAAGTCGCGTCATTATTGATCGAGCTCACAGGATCCTGGTAAAATATTTAATTACGAAATTCATGTGGTAATACGGTAATTGTAGCATTTTGATGTATATATTGCTTACACGAAGGCTTAATGCTGCTTGATTTTGGTTGAATGTTATAAATAGACGTTATTTTTAAATATTATTCCGAAATTCTCAGGAACCTGGTCTCAGGATCCTGTCAAATAACTGAGAAAAATGCAGCATCCTGAGTGTTTATATTGAAATATAATTTTTGTTCAACTTCATATGTTACTTTTTCTGCTATATACTATGAAGTCAAAATAATAATAATATGTTTGTTAACATTTTTATTTTATAAAGCTAATTTTGTAGATTTAATGATAAAAGTTCCTGTTCAAGACTGATTTAGATAGATAATTAGTAAAAGTCAAGAATAGACTTAATTATCACGATAGTTCATGATATTTGGACAATTACAAACTAATGGTTAGAAGCATAGTTTTTATTTGTGAATTGATTATTAAATAAACGTTGATTTTGATTGATATTTGTTTAAATCCTCAGTCTCCTGATTACAATCTCAGTTTCCTGCTGCTTGATTTCTTAAAATTGCCATAACTCGAATATTTTTGAATATTTTGTCCGTTCCACTTAACATAGGCTAAAAGACCATGTAATCTTTATGATAAACTATATTTTGTAACCATAATGAAAAAAAATCGTCGGGCCGGAATCGGACTCATTTTCGTTCTTAGTTTGTAGAACAACCCATATATATATATGTGTATCAGTATTTGTATTCTATCCATTACCCTAGTATCCCATAACATAAGCCTTACAGTGCTTACTTTGGGGCTAGGCGCTAATTGGTGTGATTGTTGCAATTATTTATTTTTATTATTATAATACTTATCTCTTATCTATTAGACAAGTCCGTCCGTCCGTCCGTGGTGCTGTTTCAGCGGCCAAACCGTAAGAGATAGATAAAGAGAATGTTTAAGTTATAAGTTGAGAATAGTCTGATAAGACTACAAACCGGATGTGAGTAACGTAGCACTTCCGGTTTTCGAGAAATCATGTGATTTCTATTTCAAACGAAACCACACAAAATCTCCGAAGTTCTCAATTAATTAAATACATTTTTTTTTTGGTGAACATTTGGTTCACTGGTTTGCTAGTATATACTATTTATACTATATAGATGCAAAAGTGAGTATTATCTTTTCACGATATGAAAAAAAAATGTTGACTCTAGAATCGATGGTTAATAGAATATTTGTTTCGCTACAATCAGACATGGGTGGTGGCGTATCACAGAGTCAGATCAGCTCAAAGATCTGATGGAATCTCTGCATCCGCGCGGAGCTAGAGAGAGGGAATTACACGCAGCAGTCGTTCAACATGTTCCCACGGTCAATAATAAGGTAAGGAACTTAGAAAAGTTATTATTGAAAGGTAAGATCATACAAAAAAGCGACCTTACTGATTTCATCCAACTACTGTTTTAAAGATTTTATTAACTTTGTAGCAGGTTCTTACGTCAACTATATGTCACAGGGAGGCATAATAACCTTCATGTCAGTTATGCGTGATGTTAGGGATATTTTCCCGCAGTAAAACTTAGCCTATGTGTTAATCCAGGGTGTTAGATAACTCCATACCAAATTTTATTAAAATCACTCCAGCCGTTTTGCGGTAAAGAAGTAACAAACAACCACACTCACACACACAAACTTTCGCCTTATAATATTAGTGTGATAAATATATTTAGTCTGTAATCAAGTTTTTGAATTTTCAACGATTTTCCATAGATATACATAGAGAAAGGCGACGTGCACAGCACAGAGCTGTCCATACTACACATGGACCGAGTCATAGCCCAGAGTGGGGGATTCCCCAGTCCGGATGCGCCGGGTTCTTACTGCGCAGTCACTGCTAGAAGAATAGACATGCAGTTATTGAACGCTGTGAGTAATCTTCTTCATGTAATAATAATAGTAAAATAATATTTATTATGCAGCCACGAGTGGGTGATGATTCGGACACAAATTGTTCGGACAGAATGTCCGTTTCGACATATTTACATTCATATTTTTTTGCACGCACGATTCGGACGCGTAAAAAGAAATCTGTTTTGCACAGTCGGATACAGAACTTCTAACTACGTTTTAAAAAGAATGACTGCAGCTAACTTACAAACTTAAGAAATTAAAATTTGAATTTAAAAACGATACCAAAATTAGTTTTATGGTGATTAACTTATTAAGGAGGAAATATTATTTACTAGCCGCGCCGCCCTTTACCGTCCGTATTAATTTTTGATGTGAAAACTTCTTTAGCACCATTGTGATTTGAGATTCGATGAAACGGAAGTAGAGTATTTGACACAAGATATAGGTATCCGCAATGACACTCAAGTGTCATGGGACGTTTGGGAGGGTTACAAGGCTAGAGAAAAGGCATCATAACAACCGTGGTTTTTTGTATACGTGTACGTATTATACGTTTGTAGTTTTTTCATCGATTTTATATCTGTCGCATCAGCAAGGCAGTGTTTTTGTAATCAATCAACCCCACAATCCTGCGGGGTACCGGGTTCGATCCCTGGTCGGGTCAACTTATAAAATTATATTTTTTTTGTATTTTCTCGGGTCTAGCTGATTATATTGTCGTAGTTTTTTCTGATTGCCTTAATACAAAAGCTTTAATTAACTACTAACTGACTAGTTATATTAAGTTAGTATATGTGTTGCACAATATTTATTTAATTTATATCGTCTGATATGTTTATTACAGTTTATTTCTTACTCGTTAATCGCTACATTGCTTCTATCTAATCTTTGTAAAATATGTAAATAATTTGTTTTTTAATTCGTTTTAGTGCTGCCATCTATAGTGAAATTAAGCATTTTCTTATAGGATTACGGCAGTGCTTTTGTAGCAACACTAGCATATAAGCATGCATGCTTTAAATTATCTAAACTTTAGAGTAGTTTGCTTAAAATTCTTTAGATGATCGCAAGTACATTTATGAAACTTGGTGTCCAAGTAATAAAGCTTATTTTTGTTTGCGTAAAATATAACTTATATTAAATAGTATAAGTTATTTGTTTCATTGAAAGTGATTAGTTTAATAATGTCTTAATAATGCCATAACGCACATTTTCATTTTTTTCTTTTAAAAAATAATTAATTTGTACCTAGAGAATAGAATTTTAACACAGGTATAAAACGTACCTAGTTATGAAGGACTTCTAAGTGTCCACATTTTTGTAGGTTTCACTTCTATCGCATGTGAACAGCACATGTCTGTTTTTTTGTCATAAATCCCACCCAGGAACGGTCGTTTTTACTTCATAAACAGTATATTTTGTATTAATTTATGTTATTAACGGGACTGTTACCATGTACCTTGTTTTTAGCGAGTTTCCGTTATTTCGACACTTTTGCAAGCACCCGTGATCACGGAGTAACTTAGTATACTTTGTCATAAACTATGTGCGTATGAAATTTCACCGAAAGCCGTTCAGTAGTTTTTGAATAAATTTATTTCTGAATGTAGGTCTTATTAAGTACGATGTTGTCACTAGGTGCAACAACTGGAGGAACGCGTAGCCGCTGCCTCTATGCAAGTGAAGGGTTGGAGGCCTGGAGGGGCCCCTCCTGCCGACGAGACAGGGCCGGAGTTGGTGGCGCGCGCGCGGCACAGACTGGCGGCTGTGGAGGCGCACATCGAGCGCCGATACCTGAAGCCGCCCCTGGCGCTAAGGTACGCTAGGTAATGATGCCGCCGCTATATTAAAAGGGGACTGCGGTGTTGTCTTGGGTGTTTATTATGATTTTTGTAGCGGTGTTTGGTGTTTAAACATAGAGGTATAAGAATAGATTAGGTAAGATAAAGACTCTACTACAAGTGGAAGTGTCCCTCTAATAGAAAGAGAAAGAAGATGAGTGACCGCTAGCTTTCTCTTTCTAATCGGGCATGCGCATTGGCAACCGTAAGCATCTTACTATTTCGATGTGATGCCATTGGATGCCATGCGTCACAAGAGAGAGACATAGCTAGCGGTCTCTCATCTTCTTTCTCTTTCTACTAGACTGACACTTATAGAGCCGCCTTCACCACTCTATTCTTATACCTCTATGTGTTTTTAATGGTTTGAAATTGAATAAAAATGTGTCATATTTATGATTTATGTATTGAGTTATTTTTATGAATTTTCGGATTACAGACAGTGTTGAATTGAATAGTGTTGAATTTTTACGAAATTTTAAGTTACGACTCTAATTGTATTTTCGTGGTCTCGAAATGTTTTAAATCCGTTAATTAGTGACTTGTTGCTCGTTGATGTTTGATTAAAATTTTAATGTTTGATTAAAATTTTATTTAGATACGCTGTTTTCAAAATAATGGTTGTTAATTTTTTATATTAGGTGCAATACCTAGGTGGTATATATTTCTGCTGTATGGTAATAATTGTTTATTTGTGAGTTTTGCGTATCTTAAAAAATTGCACATGCATTTTGGTGTTGCCCACATAGAACTGACTACTTGACCCACTGACGCCGCGCCGCTGTGTAAAAGGGGACTGCGATGGTGTCTTGGATGTTTTTCTTGGTGTTTGCTTGATTGTTTGATTGATTAGTCTTGTAGCGGTGTTAGTGTTTAAATATTTTGATTTTGACAAAAATTCTGTCATATTTATAAGAAAATGTTACCAAAAATACAGAGTTATGGAGTGAATATTAGAAAAAGATGAATTAATATAATTATTATTAGAGAATTTCACCATAGAATTGTTGTTATGAGTTTCACTCTTAATAAAGTCTTAGATCTAAGAATACGAACTGTGTTATATAAAAAAAATATTTGCATGTAAATTGAAGTAAAAGTTATTTTTGCAATTGATTGCAAAATCTATTGGGTCTGTCAATTATTGTCTTTATGCTTGTTAATGTTGAGATTGGAGTGTTGTAGGTTGTGATAGGGTAATATGTGAATAGTTGATGAAAGCAGGCTAGCTGCAATAAATTCTCGTTACCCGAAGACTCCTTTTTCACAAGGAATCGCTATATAAAGTACACTTCGGTGTCGATTCTAGCATGATTCTCTAAACCTAAAATTAAATTTGACGACAGTGTATCCTGGTCATACTCTATACAGAATGAAAAGGAGAGACTGATGTTAAATTTAGTTTTAATTTAAAGGATAATGCCAGAATCGACACCTTCGTCTATGTAAGTTTAAATAAAATCATGATTGTCATAATCTCGTAATGTAATTTTATGGTACTCATGTAGGCGTTTAGTATTTTTTTTATATTGGTGTTGGTATTTTGATGTGTTTAGATTAAGTGTTTTGAAAATAATATAAAGAATGATTGATTATTTTTTAATTTTAAAATGTGCCGCTCTCTTGTGACGCATGGCATCCAATGGCATCAGATCGAAATAGTAAGATGCTTACGGTTGCCAATGCGCATGCGTGATTAGAGAGAGAAAGCTAGCGGTCTCTCATCTTCTTTCTCTTTCTATTAGAGGGACATTTCCACTTGTAGTAGAGTCTATATCTCCCCTACTCTATTCTTATACCTCTATGCTTATAACCCTTATAAGAATTCACTTTGCTGTCCATCCGTCTGTCAAAACCCTTGTCCTCAGGAATACGTAGAGATGTTAAAGTTAAATAAACATTTATTGCGTTTTATGAATACGCCTTTGCTACTATTAAGCGTTTTGTTTTGTTTCAGCAACGCTGATGCTACCTTGGGCGCGGTATTGCAAGGGGAACACGGAAACTCTTCGGCGCCGTCGCCTCAGAACTCGGACGCTAATGAAGGGAGAGGTTAGTATCAACAGTCTGTTGAAGTCCCCACTGATGGGGCACAGGCCTTCCCTAATATTCCCTAAAATTCATGTTGTGAATCCTTATTTTAATTTTAAGAACCCATGTTCTAACATGAAGCAATAAAGATTGTAATTATTATAAAAAAATATAGGGAGATTGGACCATGGACCTACACTGCGTATTGGTGTGTGCTAATGACTGTAAATGCATTATTTTTAAATTTTATGGATATGTTATTTGACAGGTTTAAGTAAACGATCTCGCGTTATATTTTAATGTTTATGGAGTCCATAAAGAGTGGACATTCATCATTCTATTATAAATTTCAGTAAAATATAAATAACAACTTCTGACGACGCAGCCTGCAAAGGATGCGAAACGTAGAAAAACAAATAAATAACCGCATTTAACCCCATAAAGCTTAAATATAAAGAAAATATAACTAGAAAAAAAGGAACCACGCGGACTAGGCAGCAGACGGGACTCGAATCCGCACCCTTCGCTATCCGGGCGAAGACGATTGTGGGTTACCTACAATTCGAAGAGATGGCGCTGCCTTGCAGCTTAAGAATCGCTAGAAGAATTTCGACGCGACCATCAGGGCCGCGTTAGCATAATTGGTCAGTGCATTCCCCCGGATAGCGAAGGGTGCGGGTTCGAGTCCCGTCTGCTCCCTGGTCCTCGTGGATTTTTTTCTAGTTATATTTTCTTTAGATTTAAATATCAAGCAGTTACATGCTTAAAAATATACCTATAAAGTTTGTTTTATTTAATGAGTGATGTGCGTGAAAACCTCAAATACAAATAAGCTTTTATCATGTATTATTTTCATCTAATCAGATAATAAAGGCATAGCCCGTGGTTTGGCCACGTGGCGGGAGGCAGTCTCCCGCTGCAACACTTCAGCCCAACTCGCGATGTTACTGCAGGCCTTAGAAGTGGCCGTCGCCTGGGACAAGAGCATTATGAAAGCGGTGAGTGGGCGAAAACTACTTTAATAAAACTAAATCTGGTACTTATTGACGATCTCCGTAGCCGTAATAGCCTATGCCACTTACAAATAAGGGTTTTTTTTTGTGGTAAAAGAATTTTCAAAATCGTTTCAGTAGATCCAGGGCTAACCCCCACAATTCACAAACTTTACCTCTATAATATTAGTAAAGATATAAAAAGTAGGCACAAATGCAAGTAGGAATTATCAATTGTAATGACGACTTCAGTTGCCGAGTGGTTTGTACGCCGGGTTTCATGGTGGGTCCCTGGTTCGAATTCCGTTGGGGGCAGATGTTTGTGTGATGGATACGAGTAAGCAACACTACTCTGCCACGGAGGTCGATAACTTTCTGATTCAACTAAACCCGGACTAAAACGGATGCTGTTGAGACTTTCGCTTGCTAAAAAGAAGATAAGACAACATTATGTTTAAACCAAAACTAACCTTTTGGAATAAAACGGCTGCATTTGAATTTGAACTCTTTCTATTCTATGCTTTACTTCGTTTTCTGAGCATGTATATCTTTTTTTTAAACACTTGTGTGAACTCGAAATGACTGTAGTACCCTTAGTTTGCGAGTGCGAAATGTCAATGTCAAATTTTGTATGGAAACTTGAACAGCAGCGCCACAACGGACGTAACGAAAACTCAAAATCAGTACACATTTGACGTTTTTCTAGATTAAATCCGACTGTTTGAATTCGATAATGGTTAGTGCTAAAGGTATATCGAATTCGAATAGTTGAATTCGATATTGGTTCGTTCGATAGCAATCCCGATAGACGGTAGACCCCTGGAGGGGCCAGGGGCCTACCGTCTATCGGGATTGCTTTAGTTATTTCTATAGCTTATGATTTCATTTTCTTATTTCTGACCGCCAATGGTTTTCAAATGCCTCGCGCAGTTTTTGCATTAGTAATAACAATATTGAAGAAAGTGAGCGCGAGATATTTGGAAACCTTCGGGGGTGTTGCTCTATGACCGCTTAGTCCATTCTCTATGGCTATGCTTACTGTCACTCTATACTCTCTGCCTTATAACACCAATACATAATGGTAATCAGTCTCCTTGCCCACAGAACTGTCAGTTCTGCCTCAGTGGAGACAACGAAGACCAACTGCTTCTATGCGACGGATGTGACAAAGGCTATCACACTTACTGCTTCAAGCCGCGCATGGACAAGATTCCGGAGGGAGATTGGTGAGTGTTTAGTACAAGCGTTCGACAACCATAGAGGTATAAGAATAGATTGGGAAGGCGGCTCTAAAAATGTCCGTCTAGTAGAAAGAGAAAGAAGATAAGAGACGGCTAGCTATCTCTCTCTCTCTTGTGACGCGTGGCATCCAATGGCATCACATCGAAATAGTATGATGCTTACGGTTGCCAATGCGCATGTTCGATTAGAGAGAGAAAGCTAGCGGTCTCTCATCTTCTTTCTCTTTATATTAGAGGGACACTTCCACTTGTAGTAGAGTCTTTATCTCCCCTACTCTATTCTTATACCTCTATGTCGACAACAGATAACGTTGTAAGTCATCGTAATGTCTAGCTTTGTTTTGTGACAACGAAATCTAGCTGCGTCTATGCGACGGATGCGATAATCGCTACCCAACCCACAAAGTAAATCCAGGGCATAAACTTACCAAATTTCATTCAAATCCGTTCTTATTTCACATTTACAATATTACTAGGCTTAGACGCAAAGGACAACTTATGTGACTGAAAACATTAAATTTTTAGTAGCTCATTCTGTTTGAACTACAAAATAAAGCATATCGGCTGAAAATGTCGTGCGTTAAATTCTTAATTAGCTATAGGAATCGGCTAATCAGTAAAAAACATGAAAACTTATTTTTAACTTGGCAAATCTTTGATTGTTTTGCAATCATTTAGTTTTTGGTCTAATGTTCGCATTACCGTCTTTATATTTAATTTCTATATTGCATGAGCCAAATTGACAGTAGTTCAAAATTAATGAAAATAGTCAAATTATAACAGATTACTTACAATATCGTGTCGAAGGAATGAAATTCTAAACAAAGATCTGATTAATGGCGACTAAAGGATCAATTATTGATTGTAATCTCATTGTTTGAATTTGAATTTTTGACAAAATTTCCATAAAAATAAGTTTACATGTTTTTTACTGATTAGCCGATTTCTCGCTAATTATGAATTTAACGCCCGACATTTTCGGCCGATATGCTTTATTTTGTAGTACGAACAGAATGAGCTATTAAAAATTAAATGTTTACAGTCACATAAGCTGCCCTTTTTGTTTTAGTAGATTTGATTTCTATAAAAGAATATATTTCTTCCGCACAGGTACTGCTGGGAATGCGTAAACAAAGCCCGCGGGGAACGCGTCTGCATCGTATGCGGAGGCGCAAGCAGCGGCCGCACTATCCCCTGCGCTTTGTGTTCGCGCGCCTATCACCAGGATTGCCACTACCCGCCGCTGGGGAAGGTAAGCCTACATCGCGCTAGTGAAATTTGGAGTAAACACAATATATACCTACAGAGCCCAAACAACATCGGTCAAGCATCCAGCTCTGCCAACTACCCTCCGCTGGGGAAGGTATAATGAAAGCTTTACACGCTAGTGAAATTTGGAATCATCACAATTTATAACAGAGCCCGAACTACATCGGTGTGAGCACCCAGGTCGGAGGAAGATCTTCACTTTAAGCCTTCCCATTCTTACGAGACTCGTTAGGACTGCCATGCCATCATTAAAAGGTATTAAGGACTTTATCATTATAGTTATGGTGATCTTATCCCTGCATTTTGTTATCGCGCGCCTACCACCAGGACTGCTACTACCCACCACTAGGGAAGGTATAATAAATATAGGCTACATCGCGCTAGTGAAATTTGGAATCAACACATTATATACAGAGCCCAAACAATATCGGTCGATCACCCAGCTCCGGTGAAAGTTCTTCTCTTTAGGCCTTTCCTGCGTAATTCGCTAGTACTACCATCATCATAAAGGTAGGTTTAAGAACTTTATCAACATCATTATAGTGAACTATCCCCTGCTACCACTAGGACTGCCTACATCGCACTAGTGAAATTTGAAGTCAACACAGTGAGCAAACAACACAACCTTTACGCCTTATCTTACTCTTCCTACATATTTGGTAGGAGAATTTTAATTACATAACAGAAAATACTATTATTTAATAAATAAATACGTTTGGTCTTTTCTCTTAGAATCCTCGAGGAAAATGGTATTGCTCTCAGTGCGTCTCCCGCGCTCCGCCTAAGAAACCGCGCAACACAAAGAAAAGGGACAGCAAGCAGAAAGACAACAACGCCAGCTTGGATGACGCCAATATGGTGCCTAGGTAAAGCGGAAAATAACATAGAACATAAATATTGAACTTTTGAAATTATGTAAAAACTATTGGATACAACTATCGGACACATCTATCGGCCCACTTAGTTGTTTGTGCCCATGTTTCAACGGTCTGTAGCAAAATTATAAGTTTACTATTGAGTAATAATTTTGAAACCACACGAAAATAAGATTAATGAGTCTGCTTTAAAACTGCGAAGTTTTTGCCCAATGTAACTAATTTTTAACTAGGGACCGTCAAATTTAAAATGCTAGGTGGGGCGATTGATGTGTCCTAAAGTGTATATTTTATATACAAAATTTCATCACCGTTTAAGATTTAATCTTATATATAAAATTCTCGTATCACAATGTTAGTTACCATACTTCGCCGAAACGGCTTGACCGATTTTTATGAAATTTTCTATACATATTCAGTAGGTCCGAGAATCGGCTACTATCTATTTTTCATACCCCTAAGTGATAAGGGTTGGGTTGGTTGATAAGGGTGAAATGTCGAGCCCTAACATTTATGTATTATTTTTTGGTCATTTTTTTAATTTTATTTTTGAATGGTTCGTCATTAGAAATACGTACAACGCTTAATTTCACCAGCCCCTATTTTTATGGCGGTACGAAGTTCGCTGGGTCAGCGTGTTTCATAATAAAAACTAGCATTTATCCTTTTCTCCAAAGCCCCTTGTTCATCAACATAGTCATCGCTTGACCAGTTTCAAAACTGTTAACAACAAAAAAATACCTTTCGAACTAATCGACTGCCAATTGTGTACCCAAAATTTTGTGGACTAGGGGCCGTTCAAGTATTACGAAAGCAGATTTAGTACAATTATTTACCCCCTCCTCCCCTTGTCAACAAAAGTAAGCAAAGCTCTTACCCCCCCCCCCCCCCACCCCTCATATGCTTACGTAAACATTGGTACCTATATGCATGAGCTTTCATGGGCTACATGAGCAGCAGTACTTAAATAGCCTTAGGATAGAGGACTTTAACGCACATAATATTCATTTAAACAAACTATTGACACAGTATTCAACATAGAGTAAGGTACAAATATTTTCATGGTATTAAGTACTATTACGAATATAAGATAAACCATAAAGCCTTATTAAAATGTCTGTTAATCCATCAATGAATTGGTCTCACAGTCCTGCCCCATCGCATGCATCCACATCTACTACTGCCGAAGATTGTTCAGCGACAGTACTCCATACGCCGGAAAAGACTGAACCGGAAAAGGAGGAACCCGCCCCGGAACCGGAAAATGGACTCAATCACCATCCCGGTAAGAGCTAGAATGCTTTCGCAAAATAATTGTTCTTACAATTAATATTTCAAGCGATTGAACGTCCTCTATATGACGGAGAAGGAGGAAACCGCTCCGGAACCGGAAAATGGACTCAATCACCATCCCGGTAAGAGCTAGAATGCTTTGACAAAATAAATTTTCTGAAAATTAATATTTCAAGCGATTGAACGTACTCTATATGACGGAGAAGGAGGAAACCGCTCCGGAGCTGGAAAATGGACTCCATCATCACCTTGGTAAGGATTATAATTCTGTAGCAACATGATTAAATCTTGATGTTAATGCTTTAAGCGATTTTTGAAATCATAGCTTTCGAAGTATGTTTTAAATTTTATGTCTTGTAATGTATTTAGGAAACTTAGAAAAAAACTCAATTATGTTAAGGGACATAAAATATAATAAAAAACACAAATTTCAAATTATTCAGTTATAAATTTAGCTTAACTTGAAATAAAATACATCTAGTTGTTAAGAACATTTAAATGAGCAAAATTTATGAAAAAATGATCACTACTTGTTTTTTTAGTTTGCGACTTATGTAGGGAATCTTATTATTTAATGTTTTCAGCAAACTTATGTTTAAATGGTCATGGTGTATGATACGCCTATATCTTGTCATATATATATGAAGCAGTTTAATACTGAAAAAAGTATATAATTAGGATTATTACTAGGTTAGCAAATCAACCCAAAGTCAATAGTATAATGATCTAATAAGCTTTTTAATTAATATACTTTTTAATTATCGAAATCAGCTCATTTGTTGCCATTTTATAAGTAATTTTATGGTAGCCAGCGGATGGGTTACTATTCACCGGCGGCCGAAACGTGTGACGTCACAGAGCTCGATCGTGGTTCACTCCGGTCGAACTTCAGTAGCGTCACTCAAGCCCGAGTGCTAGAGCTCTGTTACGTCACAGCCACCACGTGGCCAGCCGAAAATTCGTTTAGTAATTTGGTCATAAATTCGTCTATAATTGTCGTAGAACAAAATTTTTACCACTGTATTTTATGGAATCCTTAGCTCTATAAATCTGCATTCTCAACTAAAATCGTTACGATTTTTCATAGATTTTTATATTATTGGTACAGCACCCCCGGAGTTCACAGAGGAAGGTCCGCCTGAAAAACGGCAGCGACTATACGTGGGCGGGAACGGAGCCATACAACACGACGACACCGAACATATGGACGGTGAGACGATATAAACATAGAAAAATATTTATATTTTTTAAGCATTTTACTGCTAGATGTTTAAATGTTAAGAAATTTTTTACTAGAATAATTCTACGCGGACCAAGCAGCAGACGCGACTCAAACCAGCACCCTCCGCTATCCGGTCTGTGAACTGACCATTACGCTACCGCGGCCCTAATTGTCCGTGTCGAATTTTCTCTGGTTTTTCTTAGGCTGTAAGGCAACGCCATCTCTTAGTCAAATGAATACCTTTACAAGTATTAAACGTTTGAAAGAGACATAACTACATTTGATAGTTATATATTGTTTAAACATTTATCTGCTAGAGTCTGTGCGCAAAGAGAGTGGGCGTGGCGAAAAACGGAACTAACATTGAGATTTTTATTTGGCAATCAAACCCAGCAATCTGTAAAACGTCAAAGTTTTGTATTGATACGGATTTGTTTGTTGTTGTGATTTCTTGCTGTTTTGTGTATTTAATCATGTCTAAAAGGGGTAAAACCTTACAAATACGGTAGAAAAGCACTACAGCGACCTCCAATCTGAATCCCATTCCCTTTCCGCACAGACTCTAGTTTATATAGATAAAATAGTGTATGCAACGGCATATAATATAGGTATTAAACTACTCGAATCAACCTATTATCAGACCTATGCTATGGTTAAACGGACTCTCGTGTTTTAATACCTCTTCTAATGCTTGACAGCCGCATAAACTAGTATTGTGTGAAAGAAATGAACAAGTAATTGTAATTTCAGGCGAAGATTTGGACACGGAGAACGTACCGCTCGTGTCTCGCGCCAAGAAGGAGAAGAACACAGCAAAGAAACTACAGAAGGACCTGCAGTTTTGCAAGTAATTAATTTTTATTAGCGGCCGCCCGCGACTTCGTACGCGTGGAGTTAGTCAGAAATAAAGGTTCACTGCTCGTTCCGCCGTAGGTGAAAGCGTGATAATATGTAGCCTATATGTTGACCCGACTTCTTAATAATATCCGTGCCAAATTTGAAGTAAATCCATGCAGTACTTTATGAGTTTATCCCGGACATACATACAGATAAACAGACAAAAATTCTTAAAACTATATTTTTGGCTTCGGTATTGATAGCAGTAGATCACATATCAAGTATTCTTTTAAAAAAATATTCAATGTACAGTTTTGACTTTCCCACCATTTTATTATAATGTATAGATTTAATAATGTAATTAATGGTTTACTATTGTGTCAGGAACTTGCTATGCGAGATGGAGTGCCACGAGCACGCGTGGCCATTCCTAATCCCAGTTAACACCAAACAGTTCCCGCAATACAAGAAGGTCATAAAATGCCCCATGGATCTGTCCACAATTAAGAGGAAACTGCAGGAAGGGAGGTGAGAAACTTGATTTTTTATTAACCGACTTCAAAAAAGGAGGAGGTTCTATGTTCGTCCGAGGTGGTCCCATTGGAACCTCGTCAGGATCTGATGATGGAATCCGGGGAAATCGAGGGAAACCTTCAAATTTCAAAGGAACACGCGATGTTTTTTATGCTTGTTCACCGATTTCTCCGTCAATTGTGTTATTAATGTTTCAATCTTGATCTCGCCCGACTTCCAAATCATGAACCAGATATTATTTTTAACTATTTAGTTCCATTTTCGATTTTGAAGTCGGTTTTATTTTTTGTTTATAATTTTTTATGATGATGTTTGTGATTAAGAAAATTTACAGAAAATGTTTCTAATGCTCTTGCAGGGCACATGTTGTGATGATTTTAATTTCAAAAACCTATGTGTCGTATCACATGAAGCAATTAAAATTATGATTACGAAAGATTATGATTACACGATTGCCCAAAAAAAAGAGTGTATTGTATTCAGGGTTCATATATGTATGTACAGTTCATTATTACACTATAACTTCTAAACGCCTGAACCGATTTAGATGTGTGTAGTATAATTAGAACCCTTACACCGTCCCGGGTAACATAGGATACCTAAATTGTTAAAATTTAAATTATAGCAATGTCAAAATGACAGTTATTTATGTCAATGAAAAAAAATCCTAATTACTACAATATCGGTATCATTTTAAATGTCTTAATGCAACCATATCAAATATATACAAATATGAACATGAAACAAGATATATACTAGAATTTGTTACTTTTTAGTTAATTATTAAAATATTTTTTGATCATAAAATATTTTCTTTTCGACCGTAGTTCGAGTTCTCGTGTTAAAAAAAGATTTTTAATTTTTTCAGAACAAGTTTATAAAGCATGCTAAATATTAACTATTTAATAAAAGTTATCTGTAAATGATTAACCAAATAAATGCCATTTGCAGTCAGTCCAAAATATATTATTCATTAACAACGCTGCTGATTTGAATAAATTTTGGTATGCACTTAGTTTATGACCTGGATTAAGATATAGGTTGCTTTTTATCTCGGAAAAAGGACAGGTTCCTTGGGGATTCTAAAAAAAACTAAAGTTAACGCGGACGAAGTCGCGGGCTGCCGTTAGTGTCATTATAATAACCATAACTATTTTTGTTACAGTTACAAATGTAAGGAGGAGTTTGCTTCTGACGTGAGACTTATATTCAGTAACTGCGAAGTATTCAATGAGGACGATAGCCCCGTAGGCCGCGCAGGACATCATATGAGACAATTCTTCCAACAACGTTGGCCACACGCGTGAATAACGCCAATATTTGACCATATAACATGCCCAACAAGTGAGCTAGTAGAAGATATGGCCCACGTGTGAAAGAACACAGGCGTCAACACCAGAAATGATTGCTATAAAATTTAGCTACAAAATAGCTCAAAATTTTGTGCCATCCCTATGGCCAATATGCGAGTGAAATAAGGCGCCAATACCAGATTTGCTTGCGTCAATATTTGGACCCAAATGAGAAATCAAAATGGCGTAACATTGTACCAAAACCTCAGTATGGACTCGGGCAAATGTTTGAATACATTCGAGTAGATAAATTAACGAACACGCTTATCCAACATTGAAGATTTATGTTTTCAGAGTAACAAATCTTAGAAGGCAAAAAAAAGTTTACAAAATTATATGTGCCAACTCTTTTTTGATGTGTAACATCTTTCCTCTAGCTTTCTTGTAACTTGTGGAAGTGATTTCGTGAAATGGGACGGAAATTTGTAACAGGAAAATCGGGGAAGCGCGCGCTATTTGATTTGTTTTAGAATATTATGTTAAAATTGCTTGAAATAAGTTTTTTTACTAAGCTGAGATGTCAAATATTACACATCATATGAGGCTACTGTAAGACTCGCTCTTTTTTTAACTACAAAGATAGCGCTGGACGCTCATGTAATGGTTTTGGAACTTGAAACCCGAGCAATGACATAATTCTCTTATCAATTTTCAACCTTATTGGTCAGACGCAAAGTTCAAAATTGCTTGAAGAATTTTGACAATTCTGTAGCCTGACATATTGCCGTCTACCAACTTATTAAAGAATATGGAATAATAAGTTGCATAAATTATTATTTGACTGGATGTTTAACAACAAAACACGGAATGCTTTAAAATCTTTTGATACAAAAACTAGTAATATTTCAGTATTTAATTTCGTATATTCTGTTTTTAATTGCTTTAATAATATTTTCAATTTGTTTCGGATGATAATCGATTCACTCGCAAAGCAGTTGAATCATGTTTAAGACGAAATATTTCTTCGAAAAGTTTTAAAAGTAATAGATACAATGGTATGTGAACACAACAAGTGATTTCTTAATATTAAACATAAATCGAAATCTATAAGGAGATTGAAGTGCCAAAAAATTATCATTTTCATTTGATAATCGATTAACTTCACTTTTCAATGTTCAAGTGATATATAAAACGTTAAAATATACTTTTTAATAAATGACAAAAAATAACTAATTTTTCAAACTTAACTAAACAAATCACGTACTGATTAACATCGCTTTTAAAAACCATTTTTTACCACTTTTGTTGCTAACTAAAATATTTCAAAATAAATATATATACATAATATATAAATACATATATTCTTTCCATAGAAAACAAAACAATACATTTTTCTTTTGTAAGAAAAAGCACCTTAGTTATTCTAAACTGACGTCGACTTAATACATCTACTAAAAGTGGTCATATTAGTAAATATATTAAATTAAATAGATCTGCTACACTAACCCCCTTATTCATAAACAAGGAATAAGCTTAGACTAGTAACGCCGTGTTTTGTTCACTCAAATGCTATTTGTCATTCAATAAACAGAGACAAAATATGGAGTAACTAATCCATAAAGCGTAGTCTTCCTTTTTAATAAGCAGGTTGGAGTATAAAGTTGAATTTGCCTTATTTTTGTTAGCGGAAAAAAATATAACTTTAATAGCTGCAGATTCTCAATTACTTATGTTTTGTCATTGAGAGTTGATTGTGGTGCAAATCTCATTATAAACCTCGAATATTATCTGCAAAGACAGCAGTATAACTTTTAAAACAAAATGCCAAAATTTTCTATTATTTTAAAGTGAAACTTTTATTACATTGAAAAAAAAATTTGCTTATCTAAAGCGCTCATTTTAATTCTGACCTTATCAACAAAGTATCCGCGGCTCAGTGGTAGAAAGATACGTATACGTCTGATACGCGCGCGGCCCGGATTCGATTCCTAGCTGAAGCTAAACTTTCTTTTACTAATGACTAAAAAAATTCACTTGCGTCATGGTTTCATTAAACCGCGGCAATTTTTTCTTTATTTCATTTCACATTAGATAAGCTTGAAAAGTTGCAAAGGACAATGGGCAAAACGCACCCAGCTCCGCCAACAATGTAATTAGTATGAATCGATAGATTTATGAAAAAAACTAGCCTTTTTTATTATGACACCGAAAATAAATATCCTGGGAGTCAAAAGATATGACACCGTAAAAAATACCTTGGTAGTCAATAGATATGACACATGGGCATATTTAAGTAGCTGAATAAATTCATTTTATAGTATCTTCATTTTATATTATAAGTAATCATATGCCACATCGTACTATATAACTAGATATACGACAAAGACTGCCGACCATCCTGCGCTTGCTTTTACTGAGACATTTCAAAACGGTTTACGGATGCTGAAGGACTTGCAGTTGCAAATAGTCGACTCGTCTTACTTCGTTGTGTTTGTGCGCTCCCTGCTACGTGATTGATTTTTATCTAACACTAACACGCTTTGGATATTGGAACACGATTATCGGTTTTGTCAATTAGTATGGATGAAATGGAATCATATGTTCTCCGAAGCGTGGACAAGTTGGTAATATGTGGTCGCTCCGTTTTACATAGAAGACAATTTACTATAATGAACAGAATGTTTAAAAAAACCCAATCCATGCGGGGATTTTTGGATTTACTTTAGCGCGGCAAAATAACATAAGGCACCCTTGCACCTTGTGAAGTACTCCCATAATTCCTCAGCACCCTATGTAGGGTTGAAACAACTATGTTTTTTATGTTATAGTACGTTATAGTACTTGTACATATTTAACTTAAAATAACTAAAGAATCCCGGGATGGAATTTGATGCGCTTTGGCACAGATGATCTTGACTATAATACCTTTCAAACAAATGTAGTTTAAGCCGTGGCGGACATGGGTGCAGCGTCCATACATTTTTGCCCAATGTCCTTTATCATTTCTGTAATAAATCCAGTGCTAATATTATAAAAATAAATGCATAGTATGTTTCTCTGTAAAAATTACTCTAATATCTGTCTTTTGTGGATTTTGAAAATAAAGGATTTTCTGTTAGTTCATATGATGAAACAATAAAAAGAACAATGACTACCCTTCTAGTCGATGTTGACATTGTTTTTGAAAAGAACTGCAGTGAGGCAAGTATTAAAATACTATCAATATTTATAACCCTAAGAGCGTTCATTCCATGACCGATATTTGACAAAAAAAATATAAAATGTATGACATTGAACATTCCATGCGAATTCGGACTATGCAATCAACATTTTCATAAGAGGAAATTGTGAAGAATCTCAAAAAATTCGAAAGTCTCCTCTCGACTTAAGAGACAATGATAATTTGTAATAATAAATATAATACATAGTTATTTAAAGAATTCTATCAACGCACATTAATGAACGTTGTCGATGTACAATCGAGGGCTTGACAGTCGATAATTTGACAATATCGCCTTTATTACCACGTAGTAGAGTTGCTAATGTCGAAAATGTAAACACCGATCGGTCCATGACTGTACTTGTATTTAATTGGTAGCCGACTGTACATAAATGTAGTATTACGTCAAAATTAGGTTATAAAATAAAAGTATTAGAACTATTTCATAAGTAATATAGGTTATAGAATTATTGAATGTCACATTTTCGAATATTATTTTTATATATGTGTATGTATAATGATTTGCGAGTAGAGCAACGAAAACAGTATTTTAATAAAATAAAAAAATCTTTATAGATACATGAGAATCGGATTTTAAGTGGCCAGTTTGGTAGGATATTACTTTCTCATTCTGTTATATATATAATATCTTATGTGTTATTTATATAATGTAAAACATAATTGGTGTGTATTATAAATAAAGAAAATATAGTTGTCTATTTCAAATTTTTCGCCGTAGGATGGAGAATAAATAGTCTTAGTGAGATATAAGTGTAGCGGGCCTAATTGAGGCAAATGTGGACTACTCATAGAGATCGCAATGTCGAGACTGTGGTACGTTAACTTGTCTATGGATTATGGCCTTAGTCTTAAAATTATGGCACGGTGACAGTTCTCTATAACTGGCCTGGCCGACTGTCTGTGTGATTGCTTTATTTTTCATCGCGGAGTGGCATTTACAAGACTTGAAAACTGTATTTACTCTATAAGTTATTAACTTATTAAAATGCTTTAGAACGGTGTTGTGGAATACATTATTTTTCAGTATTTCCTAGTAACTACCACTCTTGTGACGATAATCTTGAAACTTTTCATCATTTTAAGTGCTTTTAAAAAGTTATTTTGTAGATTTTTTTTAAAATTTCCAGTGTCAAATAGTCTCATGATTTTGGGGAATAATATAGTAAGCTGTTTTATTGACTAATAATTTATTTATAGCGGGTACATATTTAGCTATATATATTTAAACTTGATTGTAATTCCAAATGGTATGACACTTTATATCTCATAAATAGCATAATGACAGTGTGAAAATATGAGATTTTTTTGGTATATACCAAAAATTCTATGTGCGCTTCATTTTTCGCACAAATAAGTAGAAAATGATGATTAATTCGGTTTACTGGTTAGACAGACTTTTTTTATATATCTCTCTCTCTGAAGATTAGACGAGACAGAAACAGATGGAAAATGACAAAACACGCTCATAGAATTCTGATTATTTTTCTCGGTAAGATATTAACTTTTATTCGAGTAATACCTAACCAATGTTTATATTATTTTAAATTTCGTATCGTTAATTACATTGATAACTTAATTTTTTATCTGATCGGCAGAAACTCCTTTTGCAGAAGGCAAATTACTTTCTTTGTAACATTGTAATGTAATGCACCCAAATCTTACACGATTAATCCCTTTTCATATCTATACAGTATGCTAAGGATCATCATACTACTGTCAAATTAATTACAGATTTGAAATCGTGCCAGAATTAGGCTCATAGGTGTCGATTTCGGCATGATTCTCAAACTGAAGCTAAACTTAAAGGACAATGTTAAAATTGGCCTAAGAACCAACACCAATTTGGCATTTATGATAATTCTTAATATATTTTTTGGGATAATTATCAGTATTTAGATTGTGACGGACACTTCCAGTTAAGTAAGCTAAATTAAAGAGTTAAAAAATAATCTGAGACAATAAATACCATTTTAAGTGTATAATCTATGACAGCGCTGCAAACAAAACACTCTTTCTTTCTTATGCCGGCACTTCACTTGCTATTCGTATTTGCTATTTTAAAACATGACATCAGTCTGTCCTTTTCATTCCTTATTAAGCATGACAAGGACAAACTGTTGTCAAGCAAAGGGCCAGCATAAAACTCGATACTCTGTGGTTGTGGTGCAAGCAGGCAGTTTGCATTCGTAGTAATCTGTGGCATTTGTGCATTCCAAAGAGTAATATAATATACAGGAAAGTGCATTCTCGTTTCGGATTACCTGTTTACCTGTTGTTTGTGTGTGTTTATTTGCGATTGTTTTTCCTTTAATTTAACTATTTCGGCCATCGATGTTACCAAAGAGCTTTTTACCAAGTGCTAGTGAACTTGTGGCACAACATCCTGAGAGGATCATACTGCCAAATTATTCAAGAACACCTGATACACATTCACGCTGCATATTTACACAATATGCATGTGATATACAAATAAATACCATATACAATATGATACAATTATGTGAAAAATAGTCAATAAATAAGAAGCAAGACTACAGTTTTTATTTTATTCATGATTCCTACCTATCCAAGGTTTTCCTAATAGTTATTCTTTAAAATCGCACCGAATAAAATGATGAGTGATTGATGAAATGAAATGATTAGTTCTAATATTAATTCACTTCATACTAAGTTCATAGGTTAACCTATGTTTCATTGAATATTAAACATAACCTCAAAAAACATTTAGTTTTCCTAATAATTTAAGTTCTCAGAAGTGTCCGTCAATAATCTTTGTTTTTACAGTCATTTACTTACGATTTCGAACCTAGAAAACAATATTTCATGATTGTTGGTTCTTAGGCTAACTATGTATGGACGCTGAACAATGTCCTTTGACAACAGTGTATCTCTGTCATCCTCTATACAGAATGAAAAGGACAGATTTTTTTTTAGTTTTAAGTTTCCTGTCACAATCGACACCACTACTTATAATATCATTAATACTAGAGAACACACACATTTTTACTGAAACAAAATGTTAAAACCTCCTCTAAATTCCATAGAGTCCATCACGGATTTCTGAAAATTCTTTTGTATACTTTCTCTCATTAAAATCGTTTACTTAACAATTTTTTTATTATTATTATTTCAGTATTTGTACTTAGTTTTACAAATTATGGAAAAGTATTGGCCTTCAGTTTGTAAATTGTTACAATTTGTCTGAATTTGTCCAATTGTACGCCACTCATGGCTATAGATTTATTTGTGTGTAAGTTTATTTATTCCATTGGAAATGTGACCATGTGCATGCAAGTATAACTATAACGTACTTAGTCTGCGTTCAATATATCTTTTTCATATGGCCATTTACAAAAACAACATATTATTGTTTTCGAGTTTAGAAGAGAATATTTTAGGTTTTTTTTTATATATAATTTAAATAAATGTTCGTTAATGACTCTCGCATTATATTCATTTTTTATATTACACGTCCCTGGCGAGGAATAAATTTAATTTTAAATAAATTATTGTGTATGTAGAATAAATACTTAATCCTTTGCCAAGATATGTTGGAGTATCAACCCTACTGCCAGTACATAAGGTCTATGTTTGCGAGGCGTATCGGTCGGGGAGCGAGAGCATATGTGTGTGGTAATGAGATGTTTATGTTGTGTGAACGGTTGATTTTAACTATAAAATGGATATATAAATTATATATACGAATGAATAAATAATTTTTGAAGCACTCCCCTATTGTTTTCTTTTTAAAAGAATTTTGACAGCTCCGTAATCGTATCGTCATCGTCAAATACAACCCCTTCTTAGAACTAACTATACCAATCGACTGTGAAACGGGCCCTCATAAATCTAAAGAAAATTTTACAAGAAACATATTCACGCATCAGACAGGATTCGAACAACTTTCTTCTTTCAAATGTTTAATACTTGTAAAAGTATTCATTTGGCATTGTGGGTAACCTACAAGGCGAAGAGATGGCGCTGTCTTGCAGCTTAAGAATGGCTAGAGGAATTTCGACGCGGCCATCAGGGACGCGGTAGCATAATTGGTCAGTGCATTCGCCCGGATAGCGAAGGGTGCGGGTTCGAGTCCCGTCTGCTGCCTGGTCCACGTAGAATTTTTTTAGTTGTATTTTCTTTAGATTTAAACATCAAGCAGTTACATGCTTAATAAAAACAAAATTATAACCTGCTATCTGGAAATTATAATGGCGCGATTGCACTTGGTCGTTAGCCCGAATACGAGTGCCAATGTAATTCGGGTAAACGTAAGGCGTTTTGCAGACGACGGAACAAAGTGAATCCTATACTTCAAACGCACATTTCAGTGTGAATATTGTGTGCGAAATATTGCTTCGGGTGCCCGAATTCGGGTAACGTCTTTCGTGCACCCGAATACAGGCTAGCGACAAATATAATCGCGGCATAATGCTTATGATAAGCAAAATGAAACCACACTGTAAAATCAACACAGTCCATACAATTTATTAACAAAATAGAGTATTTTATTATATGCTATGTTCTTTTTCTTCCCTTGCGCGCGCCTGTTTTTGCTTCAATCGTCGTTGGCTTCGCTTCCTATTGAGTGGTGTGCTGCCGATTAACATTCCAGACTTATGTAAGGCTAGAAGCTTCGCCGATTTACTCTGACGAAGAAAAATAAACTTTATGTTAAGGGAAAAGGGGACATTGTCGCTTAAAAATATGAATAAACTATAGGCCGCCCGTTACTTCGTCTGCGTCAATTTTAGTTTTTTGAGAATTCGTCGGGAATCAAATTTTTTTTTCGAGAAAAAAGTATGATTAGGCTCAATCCAGATCATGAACTATATGCGCACCAAGTTTCATACATATCCGTTCAATAGTTTTTGCGAGATTGAGTAATAAACATACAAACTTCGCATTTTTAATCTTTTAGCAGGCAGCAGGATAGGTTATTTGACATTACGAAAAATAATCTACCAATTATTGGCATCTTTATTTAATATGAATAGTAGCAACGATTTCACTATACTGAAAGAACAAATTTATAACTTTTCTAGGAAATCATTAAATAAAAACCTTCCCGACCACTAGTTAAGGACATTTTTTTAGCTGTGGAGAAAACTTGACGATTAATCCTCCTCATTGAAAGGTATAAGCTCAGCCTTAGCCTTATGGGTTTTGGTTTTACTATGGTAATAAGCGCTCAAATTACGCAGATGATGGCGACGTCAGGTCCACCTTTTCATCCACCACAAAGGTCACCAAATTGCAATACGCTAATCATTGATAGTTGCACAAGTTAATTTGCCAGAAATCATTAAATAAAAACCTTCCCTACCACTAGTTAAGGACATTTTTTAGCTGTGGAGAAAACTTGACGATATATACTTCACAGCATTAAATAATTATGTACCAATATTTACAAAATATTATAATTTTATGGTGTCAATACAAAATCATAATATATCATCTTCATCTTAATTATAGAAAAAGCCTGAACAGTTTAAACCCAAGCATTTTTGTCTGAATCGTGCCCTGAGGAACACCCATCTTTACTACCAATTCGGGAGATCTTTTACCATTGATGTCAACCATTAGGCTATCATGCTTAGCACATACAAAATAGTTACTCACTTTTGCTTCGCATTTGGTAATTTTTCCGTTCTTTTGTGTGGTGTACAATACTTTTATCCTTTTGCTGCCCATCATCGAGTGGTGTTTGGACAAAGCCAACTGAAATAACATACAATGTTGAAATTATTTATAACATAATCTCATATATAAAATTCTCGTATTATATAAAAATTTTGAGGTATCAGGCTGGATTCAAACCTATAGATGGATGGTTGGATGCTATTAGGGTTAATAAACCAAATTTAGTAAAGTAGGGGAAATATTCCAGTATTCATTTGACAACAAGTCAAATAATGTTTTTAGTCCAGACTCAGATTATAATTAAATTCCACTACTTCATCTGATTGTATAAAAATAATATTTGTTAAATTTTATTTTATTTATTTCAATTTTATTTATTTAAAATAAATAAATAAAAGGAGTCTGTGCGGAAAGAAAATGGGAATACATTTTGCGCTGTAGTGCTTTTCTACAAAAAACCGACAATACAAAACTTTGACGTTTGAAAGATGGCTGGCTGGGTTGGATTGCTAAATAAAAATCTTAATGTTAGTTCCGTTTTTCGCCACGCCCATTCTTTTTCCGCACAGATTCTAACTTCAATATCTATAAAAACTATCAATTTCAAGCTTTTAAGGAAGTCAATATAGCTCAATTGTTGGTGCAAATCATGGTCTGTAATTGTGGCAATTAAGCCACTTTCACATTGGACAGTTACAATGTTTTATCTCAAGTTCTTTCATATTCTATAAGGCATCTTTAACTATTGGTTGAGATTGCATCTGAAGTTATTATTAGAAACTACCTACATTTTTCAGTCTTCAGATGATTCTGTGTATAGAGAAAGACAATAAATACATATTCATGTAGGTAGGTATGTGAGGAGCTCTTCAGCGCAAGTGGTTAGCGCGTTCGGGTGCGATCGTTAAAGTTAAGCAACTTTCGCAGTGGTCGGTCATTGGATGGGTGACCAAGATTTTACTAACTCTTACTCCTCCGTGCTCCAGAAAACACGTTAAGCCTTTGGTCCTGGCTGCATCTGTTTTCGTTAGCACCCACCAATCCCAATCTCTGGGTCTGGGTCACGGGCCAATCTCTCTATTCCATCTATAGGGACGGCCTCTTCCCCAGCAGTGGGGACATTAATACGCTGATATAACTTTTTGTTTGTGTACAAATGGTCTTACCTCATATGTAGGTTCATTCCTGAGTTCAACATAAGCTATAGCACTCTTTTTCTCCTCATTCAGCTTCGGTATACGAATATCAATTATGTGTTCATTCATCTCGGAGAAATGTTGCATTATCTGAAAATTTTAATAGTTCAGTGTTAAATAACTTCTTGTAATTAGGTAACTGTATAAGAAAGTTGCATATATTATTATAAAATTACTCCTCAATACCTCTTTTAGCAATGAATGCAAAAAAACAATTTCTTATCAAGGAAGAGTTAGCATCTTTAAAAAGATATATTTTTCGATTACTAATTTTAAATGGTGTCTTCTTAAGTACGTTCCTTAGTAAAATATGCAGTGGCAACTGTTTAAACTAATTGAAGAAGAAATATGCACCTGCTTTGTTACAATGATTATTTATAGCAGAAACTTAATATAATTGTATTCCAAAGAATAACTTACCATTTCCTTGTTAACAGATAGAGGTAAGTTCCCAAGAAACACCACATATCTCTTCTTGCCTTTAGCTTTTTGCACTTGTTGCTCTTTCTTTTCCGCTTTATTTCCTTCTGTTTCCTTCTCTGCTTTACTGTCCTCTGCTACCTTCTGTGCTTGATTGTTCTCTGTTTTTTTCTCTTTACTATCCTTCATTGATTTTTTTAGCTTTTTCTTTTTTTCCGTCAGCTTTTTCGCCAACACTTTCTTTTCTGATCCTTCTTTCTCTTCTACGAGGGCTGTCTTCAGCATGTTGTACAGGATTCTCACTTTGCGTAGCTCTGCATCGCTGTGGTTAGAAGAGCTCTTCAAAATAGCCAAAATTCTATTGTGAATAACGTCTGGTAGTAGTAAGCTTGAAGTTCCCTTCAAGTTGTCTCTTAATGATTGTCGTATTCGTCCTGAAATGTACATTCCGTGAAATTACAAACATTTTATAGCGGGTTTCAACACCTTTAAACCCATATTAGACATATTGTACATATATATTTTGATCTCAATAATGGGTGGTTACAATGTACTTTTAAGGAGATTTATGAATACTGGTTACCTTTCTGGTTATTTGTCAAGGGTACAGCAAGGAATTTCTTTATCAATTCCTCGTTCTTCAGCACAGGATACCTCAAACCAATTTCTTCCATAGGAAGTCCTTCAAATGTTAACCCAGATTGTTTCAGATCTTGCACATCTGGAACTTATGATTATGTTAACATTAAATTCAATTAGAAAGAAAGAATCCGCAAGAAATCACAAGGATTGCAATTAAGTACGCATGAAATATTGTTATGACTATAAACATTGACAAAATGTAGAGAAAATGCTGTGTGTAATTGTGTTAAATGCATACCATCATTATTCTCTAAGTGTGACTGGCTTTTGTCTACCGATTCTGATGGATCCAACTTAACATTTTTAGCTTGCAATGGTGAACCAGATTCTAATTTACGTTTCTTTATTTTCTTCTTCTTTCCAGCATTATCTATACTGTAATAATAAAAACTTTTATTATGCTGCAGGTTTCCCAATATTTTTTTCTGGGACCATGTTGATTAATTACTAATAAGGAACTGCGGCGAAAGTCTCGAGTCATTTTAGGATTTTGTTGAAGTCTTACCTTGTATTGTCAACCATTATCATTATCTTTGTTAGTTTCTAGCTTACTAGAAACATACACTAATACACTTGAGAATGGTTAAAAAAAATATTATTTTAATCAAAAGATTTAATAATAACAATACACGTGGTTTTATTTTTTAAAACTGTAACATATATCAGCAATGACAATATGATTTCTTTTTTATATCAAATATTTTTAAAGTACATTTTTGTATTAATTTCTCGTCATCTCCACATGTCACGCACGTGCGAACTCAGACGTGCGAATAACCGAAGTTTTATGCCGATTTTCAGACACTGATAAACGTGTTTTGAAATTAACACTATTTTGAAATCATTTTATCAAATTGTGTTACAGTATTAAATTAAATAAATTGCTTGTTTTTAAAATCATTTTTAAAATAAATGTTTGTTTTTCAATTTGACATTTTGGTGTCGATTCCGGCACGATTCTGTAAAGACAACAGTCTGTCCTTGTTATTCTTTATACAGAATGAAAAGGAGGGATTAATGTTAAATTTAGTTTTAAGTTTAGAGAATCATGCCTGAATCGACACCTTATTTTTTTTAGTTCCATTCTTCCCTGTTGGGAAAGACAAAGGCAAAGCCATGCAGCCATCGTCTTATTTTTTTTTATTAATCTTCCTTTATTTTACATTAGAATGTGGGTGTGACGCATTCTAATGTTTCTTGGAGTGTTTGGCACAAAATGTATCGAGTCAGCTTTCTCGACAAGCTTCTGTGAGGTAGTCAACACTACAATAAATTTCTCACATCCACTTGCTCGATATAGCGAATATTTTAAAGATTCCGTTAATTTTTCAGTTGCGCAGACGATTGTAACACAAAATCACACCAATTTTATTTCACAATATCCACTATGAACGAATTAAATAATAATTAAAATATAACGCCAACCGCACTCGATGAAATCCCGCCAAAAACTCCCTCGACACCTCAATGGCGTACAACATGACAGCTGACGTTTAGGGTGCGGCCAGAGTGCACTCAGATTCAGATTCAGATTCTGAAAACAAGCGCGAGAAATAAACAGTGTAGTCGAAGGGTACGGCCAGAGTGCACTCCTGATTCAGATTCAGATTCAAACTCAGAAAACAAAGCGCGAGAAAAAGCAGGCAACCTGCTTAGACTACACTGTTTATTTCTCGCGCTTGTTTTCGGAATCTGAATCTGGGTGCACTCTGGCCGCACCCTTAGTTTTTAAAATAGTTTTTTTTATTATGTAGTAGATGAATAAACGTCCACACAGTCACTGATAAATATTTTTTTTAAATTCAATTATCTACCCCGGAATCACGGTCCACCTTTTTGATTTTTCATATGTATGTATACAATCCCTAGACTATTAATCCACTAATTACTCAAGTAAAATACCGGGTTGTGAGCTATGAAGCCTACCACTATCTTAGTCTACCGGTTCAATATGGCAGACTAACTAACGATTTAAAACGTACAAAAAAGCGTAAAAAAATATAAGCACAAAATTTGTGCTATTTTTGTTCGTTATGTACTTATTTAGCATCGCATAGACCGACATGAAATATAAATTATAAAAGCGACATTTCAGTGGAACAGCCAGTGCCTCCAATATTATCGAATAATCAAAAGATCTTTATAGCTTTAGCTCTTTCTTTGAGGTTACCACAAAAAAAATACTACTGACAGAAAAGAAGTTTGCCCTTGCGTCAGGAATGTGAGTAGCCGGCTTATTGTGACAGTTTAACTAGCTCATTGAAAAATAACCGCGATCATGTTACACAGGCGGTAACGCGCAAAGTGCCAACATGGACAATCTAGGGATCAAGGTTTGTCTCGTGTCTCTGCTGACCTGCCAGAGGGCCAATCTAAAAAAATGCCGCAGGGGCTATCTAGGGTGGTATGACCAGTGGCAGCGCTAGACCACACGTGGACGTCGGCGACATCAATTTCGCGAGGCCTATTTTACTTCTCAGTTAAAAACTGTTAACTTAAGTGAGCCAAATTATAAATGATGACAAAAATTAATAACAAACATAAAATGGTGTTGCCAGACAGACGATTCTGAATACCCATAAAGTACTACTCGCTTCCATCACGCACGTGTTCGAAAATAATAAAAGTCATTATCATCTGCGAGGCCCCCTCAGGCGCAAGGCCGTCGGCGGTGGCCGACGTCGCCGTCGCCTAGCGCCGCCACTGGATATGACTCTTCAATTGCCTCCTTGATACTTGTGAGCAGAAAGCTGTGTACCTACAAGCTTTCTGCTCTGTCGAATTGGGCATACAAATTGGGCATGCTCATGTAAAAACTAGTTGCATTTTAATCGAACAAATCCAGGACCGGAGGCTCTAGTAGACAACGAAGAATTAAAGAGGATTGTGAAAGTAGATCCATCGCAAACCATGTCAGAATAAATAAATATTTCCAACCTAGCCTAGCCCCAAAGTAAGCATTGAAAGACTTATGTTATGGGAGACTAGGATAACTGATAGAATACACTGAATACATATCGACACCTTGGGGTAGAAAGGTCGTAAAAACCATTTTACCCAAAATGAGTTATGAATGCGCTTTTATTTAGCATTTTCCGTTCTATAGATTGGTCTATGTGACGCAATCAAATTCGCAAAAAATGTGTCCGTGATGCTAGCGTACCCACGATCAATATACGGGTTTTCGTTATGCCATTAAATAGTGCGTAAATAGTGCCAAATTAGTGTAAAAATAATAAAAATAGTGCCTCTTTAATTTAAGAAATAAATACCATTTTTACTGTGTACGCTACCATGACGTCAAGCTAGCGTACCCATGGCCGACCCCAAGAACGGCATATATTTAAGCAACGAAATTGACACACAAAAATAGTTCGCAAATAGTGCCCTGGCTTTACAAAATTTCATAATCAATACTCTTAAAGGACCAAAGATATTGAACTAAACATTCTTAGCTGGCGTCAACCTGGCGTACCCATAATAGTTCTCATAGAAAATGAACTTTTCTCGTTATCAATTCTATATGTATAAATAGTGTGTCAAATAGTGCCTCTAACAGTAAAAGTATTTTATGTGAATCCGCATCACAACATCACAAGAGGGTGTTAAATTCTAGGAACAAATGTATTGTAGTACAGTTACACACAAAATTAATTTATGCACTAAGAGATTATATATATATATGTATTTTTACTAAAATAAATAGGTACTTTTTATAAAAAGATATTATATTTCTATTCGAATTCACCAATCATAAATTCATATAAGAATTTCAACCTACCTACCTACTAAGTACCTTACTTACCTACTATACTACGAAAATATTATCACTTCTGTACATGACTGTACTTCATATATAAAAATAATTTATTTGCTTTTTTTATATTGTTTTACTGCGAATTAACATAAAATACTTTTACTGTTAGAGGCACTATTTGACACACTATTTATACATATAGAATTGATAACAAGAAAAGTTAATTTTCTATGAGAACTATTATGGGTACGCCAGGTTGATGCCAGCTAAGAATGTTATGTTCAATATCTTTGGTCCTTTAAGAGTATTGATTATGAAATTTTGTAAAGCCAGGGCACTATTTGCGAACTATTTTTGTGTGTCAATTTTGTTGCTTAAATATATGCCGTTCTTGGGGTCGGCCATGGGTACGCTAGCTTGACGTCATGGTAGCGTACACAGTAAAAATGGTCTTTATTTCTTAAATTAAAGAGGCACTATTTTTTTTATTTTTACACTAATTTGGCACTATTTACGCAGTATTTAATGGCATAACGAAAAACCGTATATTGATCATGGGTACGCTAGCATCACGGACACCAAAAAATGGTTTTTACAGCCCTGATATCTTCAACGTCTAAACAGATAGACCAGGGTCGATAATTTTAAAAATGGTGAAAAGTGAAAAAAAATTATAGTAGGATGAAACCCATTGGAAAAGGTAGAGAATATAACAAAAGTTAAAGGAAAAATAAATTACGGGCGATCTGAGGTCGGGAAGGGGGAGGGGGTGAGTGTTTAAGGGTAAAAACCGGTTAATCTCGATTTCCGGGAAAACTGAAAGTCCTATGAAAAAAAGTTAAATGGCAAAGTTGTAGGTAATAAAAAGATGTACAACTTTTGTATCGACACTTTTTTCACAGAACCTCAAAATTTATGTAAAAAATTCGAATAACCGAGTTTTTGGATTTTTATTTTTATTTTTAGCAAAAAAAATATTTTTTTAACGAAATTTAGTGAACACTTACCTTTGTATGTCCCAAACATACAGCATTTTTTTTTTTATTTAAAATATTCATTTTTTCACCTTATTTTGACTTAATATCGAAAAAGCACCCTTATTTTCAATCGAAAATTCTCACGTCAAAATATCTGTTTTTTTAAAAAAGGTGGTGTGTTTTTTGTTTGTTGAATACTCTACTCTTTGATGGTATAAAAAAAATATACACTACTATGGTAAATGTTCTCAGAAACTGCAAATTAATAATGATAATAACTCGAATCCGAAAATCCTATTTTTAATACCTACTTACAACAACTATTTTTGCGTGTTTTATGGATCTGTAATTTTTCTGTTTATCAATATAATATGAAATCTTACGTTTTTCGAGCAATTAAAGTGTAAATTTTAATAAATAGTTCAAAATTGGACAGCCCTGTCAGGACATGAGCTGAAAATATTTTAAAGCTTAAAAATATTAATTGTCTCTTTTTTGCAAAAAGTAGCCCGATTCATAATAGCTCATAGCTGGTACTTTGTCCCTGCATATGGACAAGCTGAGTCTCATCGCATGTGAATAGCCGTATAACCATTTAATCTTCTCCGTTTGTTTGTCTAATGACTGTATCCAAGGACGCCATAACCAGCCGCAGTTGCTAGGCGTTCACACTGCTGCTCAGCCAATGGGTGGCTTTACTTGACCCGGCAGCATAGCAACGGACGTGTGGTGCCTGGCTTTGTGACGTCGATCCATCATAAAATGTTGACTTTGTTTATGTGTTGTGTTTATGTGTTGTGTTTATTTTTCATGTTTTTTTAGAATGCTTTTTTATTAGTTTAGTGTATTATTTATTGGTTTTGACGCAATCTCTACGTGCATGTCGGCAATCATAACACCGGGCGATGACGACGTACAACTCATTCAGTGCCCCAAGTGCATACAACCCCGGTTTTTTAAAGGTAACCGTGGCTTAAAAATACACATTGGCAGGTCTCATAAATCCCCTGCCTCTGTGCCAGCAGTTTCTCCTCCTCCATCTCAAAATTCGGGCAACCAACCACTTTGGCAAATTCTTGGCAATCTC